TTTGGACAATAGTCACCCAATAATTCTCCACCTGCCTTCCCATGTCTTATTTCTTGTCTTTTATCTAATTTTCTTTCACTTTTGGTTTGATCGTTAACACTCTCATTAATACACAGAAAGGAAAATATGTTTACAGTCTAACTTTTAAATTTGCCAAAGCATCTTTAATAGACCATCCACCATGAATGTTATGTAAAATAAATTCCATTCAATAAGATTTTATCAGTTTGGATGTAAAAACTTTGATATCATTATGTGAAAATTGTATCTTCAATGTTGATTAGTTGTAAGTAATGAGATGGGCCAATGACAATAAGCGTCACATAACCACTTAGGCTGAAATGACATACATGACTAACAGTTTAATATTTATGCAACAAAAATCCATAAGATAAGGTATGTTGATTTAAGACTTATTTGTGGTGGTTGTACCTACAGGGAACTAAGAAGTACATGGTGCCCCACTTGGTCAGTAAAGCTACGTCTGAAGCCTCCACTCTCATCAAACTGATGGCCACACTGCTCAACGTACCTGTAAGTACCGTCACAGGTGGTCATTATAGACGGGGGATCATTATAGACAGGGGATCATTATAGATGGGGGATCATTATAGACAGGGGATCATTATAGATGGGGGATCGATATAGACAGGTGGTCATTATAGACAGGGGATCAGTATAGACAGGGGATCATTATAGATGGGGGATCGTTATAGCCAGGTGGTCATTATAGACAGGGGACCATTATAGACAGGGGATCATTATAGACTGGATCATTATAGACAGGGGGTCATTATAGACGGGGAATCATTATATACTGGGGATCATTATAGACGGGGGGTCATTATAGACAGGGGATCAGTATAGACAGGGGATCATTATAGACGCGGAATCATTATAGACTGGGGATCATTATAGACGGGGTATCATTATAGACGGGGGATCATTATAAACAGGGGATCATTATAGACTGGATCATTATAGACAGGGGATCATGATAGACAGGGGATCATTATAGATGGGGGATCGTTATAGACAGGTGGTCATTATAGACAGGGGATCAGTATAGACAGGGGATCATTAGAGACGGGGGATCATTATAGACTGGGGATCATTATAGACGGGGGGTCATTATAGACAGGGGATCCTTATAGACAGGGGATCATTATAGACGGGGAATCATTATAGACTGGGGATCACTACAGACGGGGGATCATTATAGACGGGGGATCATTATAGACAGGGGATCATTATAGACTGGATCATTATAGACAGGGGATCATTATGGACAGGGGATCATTATAGACAGGCAGACATTGTAGACAGGTGTTACTGTGTTGCCATGGCTATAGATAAGTTGATGTGAATTAATGTTTCTATAGACTGGTTTTACAGTGTATTTATTAAAAGTCAAGGAAGGGGCCAAGAATTTTTGTTTAACTTTGTATACAGGAACAACATGATAACATTAGCGTTGTAGTGCTGTTCTTGCAAAAAACTTAAGTCTTCATAAAATTAACGTTTTGTGAGTATGGACAGGTAGTTATTAATGACAGATGTTACTGTATTTATTTTTATGACAATTGACAGATGTCATCGTACTTTTAGAAACAGTCCATAGCTACCATGTATGAAAGAAACGGCGAACAAAGCCTATATTTTCTTGTTTAAATTTATATGCAAGAGAAATGTTCAGACCTTCTTTTCATAAGTTAATAAAGAAATGTTTCCGTGATGTTTGCCTCTATGAAAGATGAATATTTTATGTTTTTGACAGAGTCCTCTATGAAAGATGAATATTTAATGTTTTTGACAGAGTCGTATGAAGCTTCTACTGGAGATGATTAAGTACACCTATACCTACTTGGTGTGTCACTGTGGTAAGGCCGAGATGGAGCGAGCCATCACCTTCCTACAGGTACTCATATAATACATACCTGTATTTAAAAACCTTGCAAAAGTGTAATTATATCTTCAGGTATTCCATTAATATATATTTATATTCCCCACTCATACTAACTTACATTTAATAACTACTGGTACCCTCATGACTATAGAAACAAGCATACATTTACTTCACACTCTGTCCCTTGTTTTCGTCTGTCTGTCACACTTTCCTGTTTGGATCTTATGTTTCATGAAAACGGTATTCAAGTGGTGTGCAGTGCCCAAGAACGATAACTACAGATATAATACCTGTTTGTCAGATTCCCTCTTATTTTATTTTTCGAGTCAAGTTTGTTTCTGGAAGTATCCACAGTCCCACTGATCTTCTTGCTCCAACTGGTACTCAGATACCATTTAACAGTAATACAGTAACTGATTTACAATGTAATGATATTTACAGAATGAAACTGAGGTTGACCTGGGTGGACTTGTACGACTTCACTTCCAGAGGACTCACCAGGAGTTACTGCTGCGACTCAGCACTGACTATTCACAGGTAAATACAGGTGACAGGTGAGCAGAGTTACTGCTGCAACTCAGCACTGACTATTTACAGGTAAATACAGGCAACAGGTGACCAGAGTTACTGCTGCGACTCAGCACTGACTAATTACGGGTAAATACAGGTGACAGGTGAGCAAAGTTACTGCTGCGACTCAGCACTGACTATTTACAGGTAAATACAGGCAACAGGTGAGCAGAGTTACTGCTGCGACTCTGCACTGACTATTCACAGGTAAATACAGGTGACAGGTAAGCAGAGTTACTGCTGCGACTCAGCGCTGACTATTCACAGGTAAATACAGGTGACAGGTAAGCAGAGTTACTGCTGCGACTCAGCGCTGACTATTCACAGGTAAATACAGGTGACAGGTAAGCAGAGTTACTGCTGCGACTCAGCGCTGACTATTTACAGGTAAATACAGGCGACAGGTGAGCAAAGTTACTGCTGCGACTCAGTACTGACTATTTTCAGGTAAATACAGGCGACAGGTAAGGAGGTTGACCTGGGTGGACTTGTACGACTTCACTTCCAGAGGACTCACCAGGAGTTACTGCTGCGACTCAGCACTGACTATTTACAGGTAAATACAGGGGACAGGTGAGCAGAGTTACTGCTGCGACTCTGCACTGACTATTCACAGGTAAATACAGGTGACAGGTAAGCAGAGTTACTGCTGCGACTCAGCGCTGACTATTCACAGGTAAATACAGGTGACAGGTGAGTTTCAGGTAAATACAGGTGACAGGTGAGCAAAGTTACTGCTGCTACTCAGTACTGACTATTTTCAGGTAAATACAGGCGACAGGTGAGCAGAGTTACTGATGCGACTCAGCACTGACTATTCACAGGTAAATACAGGTAACAGGTGAGCAGAGTTACTGCTGCGACTCGGCACTGACTATTTACAGGTAAATACAGGTGACAGGTGAGCAAAGTTACTGCTGCGACTCAGTACTGACTATTTTCAGGTAAATACAGGCGACAGGTGAGCAGAGTTACTGCTGCGACTCAGCACTGACTATTCACAGGTAAATACAGGTAACAGGTGAGCAGAGGTAAATACAGGCGACAGGTGAGCAGAGTTACTGCTGCGACTCGCCACTGACTATTCACAGGTAAATACACTGGTGACAGGTGAGCAGAGTTACCGCTGCGACTCAGCACTGACTATTTACAGGTAAATACAGGTGGCAGGTGGGCAGAGGTAAATACAGGCGACAGGTGAGCAGAGTTACTGCTGCGACTCGGCACTGACTATTCACAGGTAAATACACTGGTGACAGGTGAGCAGAGTTACTGCTGCGACTCAGCACTGACTATTAACAGGTAAATACAGGTGACAGGTGAGCAGAGTAACTGCTGCAACTCGGCACTGACTATTCACAGGTAAATACAGGTGACAGGTGAGCAGAGTTCCTGTGCGACTCGGCACTGACTATTTACAGGTAAATAAAGGTGACAGGTGAGCAGAGTTACTGCTGCGACTCAGCACTGACTATTCACAGGTAAATACAGGTCACAGGTGAGCAGAGGTAAATACAGGCGACAGGTGAGCAGAGTTACTGCTGCGACTCGGCCCTGACTATTCACAGGTAAATACAGGTGACAGGTAAGCAGAGTTACTGTTGCGACTCAGCACTGACTATTTACAGGTAAATACTGGTGACAGGTGAGCAGAGTTACTGCTGCGACTCATCACTGACTATTTACAGGTAAATACAGGTGACAGGTGGGCAGAGGTAAATACAGGCGACAGGGGAGCAGAGTTACTGCTGCGACTCAGCACTGACTATGCACAGGTAAATACAGGTGACAGGTGAGCAGAGGTAAATACAGGCGACAGGTGAGCAGAGTTACTGCTGCGACTCAGTACTGACTATTTACAGGTAAATACAGGTGACAGGTGAGCAGATTTCCTGTGCGACTCGGCACTGACTATTTACAGGTAAATACAGGTGACAGGTGGGCAGAGGTACATACAGGCGACAGGTGAGCAGAGTTACTGCTGCGACTCAGTACTGACTATTTACAGGTAAATACAGGTGACAGGTAAGCAGAGTTACGGCTGCGACTCAGCACTGACTATTTACAGGTAAATACAGGCAACAGGTGAGCAAAGTTACTACTGCGACTCAGTACTGACTATTTTCAGGTAAATACAGGCGACAGGTAAGGAGGTTGACCTGGGGGGACTTGTACGACTTCACTTCCAGAGGACTCACCAGGAGTTACTGCTGCGACTCAGCACTGACTATTCACAGGTAAATACAGGTGACAGGTAAGCAGAGTTACTGCGGCGACTCAGCACTGACTATTAACAGGTAAATACAGGTGACAGGTGAGCAGAGGAACTGCTGCAACTCGGCACTGACTATTCACAGGTAAATACACTGGTGACAGGTGAGCAGAGTTACTGCTGCGACTCAGCCCTGACTATTTACAGGTAAATACAGGTGACAGGTAAGCAGAGTTACTGCTTCGACTCAGCACTGACTATTTACAGGTAAATACAGGCAACAGGTGAGCAGAGTTACTGCTGCGACTCAGTACTGACTATTCACAGGTAAATACAGGCGACAGGTAAGCAGAGTTACTGCTGCGACTCAGCACTGACTATTTACGGGTAAATACAGGTGACAGGTGAGCAGAGTTACTGCTGCGACTCATCACTGACTATTTACAGGTAAATACAGGTGACAGGTGAGCAGAGTTCCTGTGCGACTCGGCACTGACTATTTACAGGTAAATACAGGTGACAGGTGGGCAGAGTTACTGCTGCGACTCAGCACTGACTATTTACAGGGAAATACAGGTGACAGGTGAGCAGAGGTAAATACAGAGTTACTGCTGCGACTCGGCACTGACTATTCACAGGTAAATACACTGGTGACAGGTGAGCAGAGTTACTGCTGCGACTGAGCACTGACTATTTACAGGTAAATACAGTTGACAGGTGGGCAGAGTTACTGCTGCGACTCAGCACTGACTATGCACAGGTAAATACAGGTGACAGGTGAGCAGAGTTCCTGTGCGACTCAGCACTGACTATTTACAGGTAAATACAGGCTGCTGCGACTCAGCACTGACTATTCACAGGTAAATATTTACAGGTAAATACAGGTGACAGGTGAGCAGAGTTACTGCTGCGACTGAGCACTGACTATTTACAGGTAAATACAGTTGACAGGTGGGCAGAGTTACTGCTGCGACTCAGCACTGACTATTCACAGGTTTACAGGTAAATACAGGCGACAGGTGAGCAGAGTTACAGCTGCGACCCAGCACTGACTATTCACAGGTAAATACAGGTAACAGATGAGCAGAGTTGCTGCTGCGACTCAGCACTGACTATTCACAGGTAAATACAGACTGACTATTCACAGGTAAATACAGGTAACAGATGAGCAGAGTTGCTGCTGCGACTCAGCACTGACTATTCACAGGTAAATACAGACTGACTATTCACAGGTAAATACAGGTAACAGATGAGCAGAGTTGCTGCTGCGACTCAGCACTGACTATTCACAGGTAAATGCAGGCGACAGGTAGACAGAAGATTTAACAGGCAATAAGGCCATGTCTGGTAATAAGCCCATCTCTTTAACAAATGTTATTTCATGACTATTTACAGGTAAATACAGGTGACAGGTGGGCAGAGTTACTGCTGCGACTCAGCACTGACTATTCACAGATAAATACAGGCGACAGGAGAGCAGAGGTAAATACAGGCGACAGGAGAGCAGAGTTACTGCTGCGACTCAGCACTGACTATTCACAGGTAAATATTTACAGGTAAATACAGGTGACAGGTGAGCAGAGTTACTGCTGCGACTGAGCACTGACTATTTACAGGTAAATACAGTTGACAGGTGGGCAGAGTTACTGCTGCGACTCAGCACTGACTATTCACAGGTAAATGCAGGCGACAGGTAGACAGTAGATTTAACAGGCAATAAGGCCATGTCTGGTAATAAGCCCATCTCTTTAACAAATGTTATTTCATTGTCCTATGATCTGACAGCCCAACCCCTTATTTTAGCCAGAAATAATGTATTGTCCCCCTGGGTTTATGTTGGGATAAATTTGGCATATAAAATATCCAGATTAATTATTTTAGAGAAATCAGTGAATGTTGAGAGTCAGAAGAAAGCTTAGAAATAATATTCTTCAGATGTAGTTTATATTTACACCAAGTAATTGTAAGTAATTGTAAAATGGAGTTCCTTTACACCTGATAAGATTTTGGTGGCCATTGGTCAAGGTTCAAGGGTTTAAGTCACACTTGACCACCTTTGAAATGAGAAAATATCTTGTGAACTCTTCAGCAGACTGTTTCTACCTTGAGTGTAACCAGTTGTCACTTCTACTCACCTGCTATTGGTAACTGTTTCCATCATTTAGGTATTCAATGGATTGCGTGTACTGGCGACCTATGATGAGAGCTATCAGGGACCTAAAGATATCACAACCTCGGAACAAATGGTAAGAGCTATAGCACATCTACACAATCACACCACAGTTTTATCAAAATGTCTGACAGAAAATTGTTTATATTTCTGTCTGACTTGCAGAATGTCCTTGTTGTCTATAGTATCTGTTGTACAGTTTTCTTGAAGAAACCAACACAATCATGCTACCTGGGTTAACCTGGAACTCATTACCAACATCACTGGCCCTTAGTGAGGAATTACCTTCTTTCAAATCCTCACTTGAAGGTTACCACCGGTCTCTTTACTAATTCTTTGAAATGCCACCTCCTAGGGTCAATTGCACTCCGACCTTGGAGTTCTGATCCTTGTAATGGAAGAAGAAGAAGCCAAGGATTGGCCCCTTCCTAGGGAAACAGTTGAATTTAGCTCACTAAACCATAAACTCATATTTACAGATCTACAGCATACTTACTTTTAAGCACCTTTGGTTCCTTAGACCTGTAAATCACTTGCAGTGTAAAAGAAGACTAGCTCCTCACAGCTAGGTACAAAACTTTGTAATTTAGGTTTTTCCCCCTCAGATTCCAAGGAGAGCCAAAAAATTGAGATATTTGCAATATAAAAAAACGTTTGCTGTGATTACTTAAATATTCAGGTGATTGATACAGGCCCTGTGGGTCTCTTGCTGAATGTGCAGATTCTTGTTTGTTAGTCCCCCACCGGGAACTGCAGTTTTGCGTCATGTCTGTCCATCCTTCAGCTATCTTGTCCGGGCTCTGTCTACTACACTACTTGTCACTGAAACTTCATACTTGATGCATGGGTTCACCTTGGTGAGGCGATGTGTCATGTATCAAAAGTAGGTCACTCTGACCTACATTTTGACCTTTGACCTACATGAAAGAAAAAGATTGTCCGGGCTCTATCTCCTACACTACTAGTCACTGGAACTTCATACTTGGGGTATGGGTTCACCTTGGTGAGGCGGTGTGTCGTATATCAAAGTAGGTCACTTTGTTTTTGACCTTTGACCTGCATAAAAGAAAAAGTTTGTCCGGGCTCTATCTCCTCCACTACTAGTTAATGGAACTTCATTTTGGGGTATGGGTCTGTCAAACATTCATATATAGAATTAGTTTCAGCACAAATTTATCATCTGTGCATTCGGTGAGGGACTACATAATGCTTTACATATTTACTTGTTGTAGGCAGCCTATCTACAGCCCCGCCTGTTGGGTGTGATCGCTTTCTTTGACTCACAGCTGCTGACAGTGAGCATACCTCTGGAGGACAAAATACTGGTGAGTGTGTAATATATGTGATAGTAATTGTGATATAAATGTGTGGTGTTGGTGTGTGATGAAGGTGTGTGTGTAGTGTTTGTGATAAAAATGTGTGGTGTTGGTGTGTGATGAAGGTGTGTATGTAGTGTTTGTGTGAACTATGTGTCTAGCGTAGGTGACTATTTGTTTGAGGTTAATGTTGAAAAGAAAGAGCAATATCCCTGGTGTAGCAATCAGGTGGGGGGGGGTGTCAATTTGAGTTTCTATAACACACATATCCTTTGCTGACAAACTGACATAGCTAAGTTTGTAATCGATAGCAATGTGTGTAATAGGACCATAACATTTACTCAAACATTCTTTGCTTAAGTATTGTATATGGTTGGTATCGAAGTGTAAATTTTTATGTGTACAATACAAATTCAGTCTGAAAATGTTAGAAACTCTGAATAAATTATTCTGATACATATTTTGTGGCGTTGTTATTTTGATAGACATTGGAGAGTTTGACTTCCATCATTCGTCTGATGGGATCTAAGTACATCGGTGTAATCCGTCACAAAGTGGTCAACACTCTCAGGTAAGTAATGGGCAGGTTTAACAGGTCTAGAATGGTCCTCTAAAACATACAATTACATAATTATAATATATGTGCTGTTTATATCCTGCAGTAAGTCCAGTGGACCAAACATGATCCCTCACTCAAAGTAGGGGAGGGACATATAACAGGACAATGTTTGAATTTTATTGAACTGAAATAGATTTTGGTGGGCTTATTACCAGGCATGGGCTTATTGCTGGATAAATACAAGTACCGTCACATTTAACCACTTGTTAACTATCACATAACATGACTTGACGATTTCTGTCAATTAAAACATGTGTATACATATTATTTACTTATATTATAAAAAGAAAAAATCTCAACAGCAAGTCTTTTAATAGTACTTCCATCTCATCAAGGAGTTCTTCAGACTGTTTATTTGAAGTAGACATTATGACGTTATAAACTATGACGTCGCATTATAGTTCGCTATAGCAACGTCCGCTATGTATGGGTACCCGCCATAGCAACATCACAGCAATAGAAATACATAATGTTGGTCTTATTCCCTACAGGATTGGCCTCAAGTGTAAGGACAGACAGATGATGGAGGTGTCGTGTCGGGCTTGGAACTGCTTTGTTACCAGGTATATCATCTTACACATCAGGGGTCGGGCACATTGAGGTGCACACACTCACATGGAGTATGCGTCGCGACTCGTTAAACTGATCGTGGTGGAAGGTTTTTTTGAGTAATGGTTCTGAAATTGATATATTCTACTATCTAATCAATATATAAGTAAACTTCACTGCACACGAAAAGCGCAAGTATTTCCACACTGCGAACATTTCGACTGTACTGTAAACACTTTGAGAAACACAGACTGCAGTATACACTGAAATTCACATACTTTTTTTTATTAATTTTGGCCCATTGGGAAACCTGTGTATAAATCCTTGTTACAGTTAATGCCTTGTTTTGTGTATGACAGCCTGGAGTTGTCCTTCCTTTTGACAATTATTGTCTTGTTTTGTGTATGACAGCCTGGAGTTGTCCTTCCTTTTGACAATTATTGCCTTGTTTTGTGTTTAACAGCCTGGAGTTGTCCTTCCTTGTGACAGTTATTGCCTCATTTTGTGTATGGCAGCCTGGAGTTGTCCTTCCTTGTGACATTTAATGCCTTGTTTTGTGTATGACAGACTGGAGTTGTCCTTCCTTGTTACAGTTATTGCCTTGTTTTGTGTATGACAGCCTGGAGTTGTCCTTCATTTTGACAATTATTGCCTTGTTTCGTGTTTGACAGCCTTGAGTTGTCCTTCCTTGTGACAGTTATTGCCTCATTTTGTGTATGACAGCCTGGAGTTGTCCTTCCTTGTGACAGTTATTGCCTTGTTTTGTGTTTAACTGCCTGGAGTTGTCCTTCCTTGTTACAGTTATTGCCTTTTTTTGTGTATGACAGCTTGGAGTTGTCCTTCCTTGTGACAGTTATTGCCTCATTTTGTGTATGACAGCCTGGAGTTGTCAATCCTTGTGACAGTTATTGGTTTGTTTTATGTTTAACTGCCTGGAGTTGTCCTTCCTTGTGACAGTTAATGACTTGTTTTGTGTATGACAGCCTGGAGTTGTCCTTCCTTGTGATAGTTAATGACTTGTTTTGTGTATGACAGCCTGGAGTTGTCCTTCCTTGTGACAGTTATTGCCTTGTTTTGTGTTTAACTGCCTGGAGTTGTCCTTCCTTGTGACAGTTATTGCCTTGTTTTGTGTTTAACTGCCTGGAGTTGTCCTTCCTTGTGACAGTTATTGCCTCATTTTGGGTATGACAGCCTGGAGTTGTCAATCCTGGTGACAGTTATTGGTTTGTTTTATGTTTAACTGCCTGGAGTTGTCCTTCCTTGTGACAGTTAATGACTTGATTTGTGTATGACAGCCTGGAGTTGTCCTTCCTTGTGACAGTTATTGCCTCATTTTGTGTATGACAGCCTGGAGTTGTCCTTCCTGGGACAGATGATGTCACAGATAATTGCCACCCTGCTGCCACTGTTGGAGCCACTCCCCAGACAGGTTGCCGAAATTTTCTCCTACATCATTGTGGAAAACAGGTTTGTGTTAACTGTATTAACTGTTTGTGATAGGAGCGTTGTTGAGGAGTTTATGCCTGAAGAATATCTAGCCTGATGTTTTGTGTATTGGGCTGCAACAATATATCGTGGGACGATATATCACAATATTTTGAAAACGGTACGGTACACAATATTTTTTGGGAGGTTAGGATACACCCACGATATTTTCAGGATTTTGTCGTTTCTGAGTTTAGTCTACTCATATCAGTTCCAACATGGTGAATGACAGCTCCAGCTTGGCATGCACGTCGAAAGATGTGAATTGTATGAAACTTTGAAGTCATGCCCATTTTGGACCAAATCTATTTCCTGTTGTAATATTGCAACATACATTTTCTCTTTGATTCTACTGTTACTATATGTATCGAGATATGTATTGTATCATCATGTATCATTGCAGCCATACTGTGTCTAAAGAATGGTTTTGCACCTGATATTGTCTCGCCTAGCTGCTGTATTGATAACATAAAAGGTCACCTGACTACATAAACAAAACACAGAACAAACGTAGAACAAGACTGATATATGCTAACATAACATGTTTGTGTCTGATGAATATGTCTAATGAATCACAACTTATTTCGTTCTTGCAGGGAAGAGCTACATGCACATTTCAATGAGATCTACTTTCTCCCCGACATTCCAGAGCTGGCCGAGTGTAATGGTATCCTGAAGCAGTATGTAGCCAGTCCGTCCAGGTAGGCTGTGTATAATCATCCTCTGTTTATCTCTTTGGTACCACAATTTTCTGTTCTCCGCTTTGTTGTCCCCTGCTGGGGAAATATTGAAGAGACCAAAATGATCTATTTCACATATGGCGTTTCAGTGAAATCTGTCTAATCCAACATCTGATAATTACAGCATACCGACATCCTGTCTAACGGAGTATTCCAACAACCTGTCTTATCTGACATTTACTTATAATGCTATTTCAAAATTATCAAATAACAAGCATGCATTCTCTGACACCCTGTCTGACCAATCAATTGGGTTCAATCCACAGGGTGTCAGATTAAACAGCTTTCTTTGTACTCAGATTCTCTGAAATAAGATAATTTAACAGTTGGCAAAAAGAAAAATGTTATGAAAAAGTGGCGAGGGCTTTACTGTGGTAAGTTGAATCCCCCCATTGCAAAGTCGTGATGGGCACCATTGTCTCAACTTCGTGATGAAAAGTTCAACCTCTCTTGTTCATCTAACAGTTGAAATATATGGGCTCCTTTGGGCCTCAGTGTAGTCTTTTGTGATTTACTATACTTGTGTATTATTTTGCGACATCCAGTCAGTCAGACCTGCGGACGACCTTGACCTACTCCACAAAAGGGATATCTCACGAGAGTGTGGACGTCAGAAGACACGCCCTGTCCAAACTCCGCAAACTTCTCCGCGATGAAAAGGTGAGCAAAATACATTCAAGTAAACCTCATTACTTTGGTGGGATGGGACTGACCTGGGACAGAGACAAATTGATGACCAGATGTATTGTATACAAGATAGGGCTGTCCCATGTATTAAAATAGTGACATGGGTTTGGGAGGATGGGGGTCAAGGAATAATTCGAATATGTATATTACGTGACATTTTATAAGCGTGATAGGACATTCCGCAGGAGAAATCGTACCAGTGTTGTCTTTTTCATAGAAGTTGATTATTGTACCAGTATGTTTTCTATCCCACAGGAGAAGTTGTACCAGTATGTGAACAGTAACGAGACAGCTGATCCTGTTATCTCCAACCTGGTGTCACTGGTAAGGCTAAAAACTCATTTTTACTACTGCTCATAAATATAACAACCACCCTCAGATACAAATCGTACTCTGTAGATTTGTAATTGGTGTCTTTTGTTAAATTTCTACTTGCCTTTTTTTGAACATGTGCACATTTAAACAAGTTATGTAAACGTTAACAGAAATTATGTGTCTTTAATTTGCTACAGCTCCTGCAAGGATGTAGGGAGACAGATCCACGGTCCCAGTGCCTTTATGCAGAATGTATTGGAGAGTTGGGTGCCATAGACCCAGGCAGGTATGCAAAAATATTCCTCATATACATAGGCTTCAATGACTATTGGAACAGGATAACGTCGTTATTACAATTTAAAGTCATCTGAGGCAAAGAATCATGTAAACTATGGGATCCCTTTGTTAAATGGGTCAAATCATCTGAAATTTCTAAAACCATCTTCAGACCCAGTAAGCCTAGAATCAATTACTTTTCATGGATGGAAAGGTGTCAGGTGCTTTATAAAATAGTGAATATCATCACCCATGGTCATATATTCTCCCTTGGGGAGGGGGTAAAATGGAAATCATATAAATGCTTATTGGAACTATATGGGGTTTGAACTATATGGGGTTTTATTTTGACGGTATGCAAATTCTGATGTTGACCCACCCCAGGAGTATGATTTGAACAGGATTGCGATATTCCTTTGATTTTCTTCGATTGGAAATCTGTTAAAATTTGATAATGTGCTAAATTTTGAGTTCCCTAAAATACGCCTATTACTGTATTTAATGAGTGTGCGGTAGTTTAGCGAGTTGGAGTAATACCTGAGGCTGCTTATAGTCTATTGAAGTTTTTAAATAAATATTTTCTTGGGCTGAATCTTGCCTAGTATATTCCCACTAAGTCCTTTTCTCGTGCTTTTTGCCTGGCTAAATGAAGTGTTTCAGTAACGATATAGCATGTTTCCTACAGGTTGGAGTTAATGTGTAACAACCCCAAAAGAGACTTTGCCAACTTCCACGCAAATATAGAAGAGGACAATTTTGCTGTTGGCCTTATCAATGAAGTGATCAATGCCTTCCTTGCTGCTCCAGAGTCCAGAATACAGGTAAGTCTAGATTACAGGTGAGTCCAGAATACAGGTAAGCCTAGAATACAGGTAAGCCTAGAATACAGGTAAGTCTAGATTACAGGTGAGTCCAGAATACAGGTAAGCCTAGAATACAGGTAAGCTCAGAAAACAGGTAAGTCCAGGTAAGTCTAGAATACAAGTAAGTCCAGAATACAGGTTAGTTCAGAATACAGGTAAGTCTACAGGTAAGTTCAGAATACAGGTAAGTATGGAATACAGGTAAGTTCAGAATACAGGTAAGTCTAGAGTACAGGTAAGTCCAGAATACAGGTAAGTTCAGAATACAGGTAAGTCTAGAATACAAGTAAGTCTAGAATACAGGTAAGTTCAGAATACAGGTAAGTCTAGAAATACAGGTAAGTCTGGAATACAAGTAAGTCACATAAGTCTAGAATACCGGTAAATCTGGAATACAGGTAAGTCCAGAATACAGGTAAGTCTAGAATACAGGTGAGTTCAGAATACCGGTAAGTCTAGAATATAGAATACAGCTAAGTCTAGAATAGAATACTAGAATACAGGTAAGTTCAGAATACCGGTAAGTCTAGAATATAGAATACAGCTAAGTCTAGAATAGAATACTAGAATACAGGTAAGTCTAGAATGCAGAATACAGCTAAGTCTAGAATAGAATACTAGAATACAGGTAAGTCTAGAATGCAGAATACAGCTAAGTCTAGAATAGAATACTAGAATACAGGTAAGTTCAGAATACAGGTAAGGTGGACTTCTCACTCCCTGTTTACTTAAACTACAGATAAATCTGTCTTGACTCAACTGTCTTTCTCTAAGTGAATTTCTTGTTACATAGCCTGGGTTTGGATACAGTTTAATGCTTCAGTCTGACCCATTTATCTGTCCATTGTGATAGATTATATAGTTTAATTGTTCTCATGAAACAGTATATACTAAAAAGGTCATTGATACTGGGAGAATGATTCTGAACATTGTAGTATTATTAACGATTTGTACTTCCAGGACACAGCTGCATTTGCCTTACAAGAACTGCTGAAAACCTACAAAATAACGGAGCCGAAGACTAGTGACCGAAACTCTGGCCGTATCTGGAAAAGGTTCCCTGATCATGTCCAGGAGATTCTCATTCCATTCCTCAGCTCCAAGTAAGTTTAAAAGTAGTTCAGAAAATCATTTAGAAATATTCACAGACTTCAGCCTATTAAGATTAGCTCATTGGGTCCGAAGGACCAAGGTGAGCTTATGCCATACCGTGGCGTCCGCGTCCATCCGTCAACAATTTGTTTAAACGACTTCTTCTTCCTAACCACTGATTGGAATATAACTAAATTTGACTGATAGCATCTCTAGGTAGTGGGGAATCAAAATTGTACAAATGGTGGGGCTGATCCCCAGGGGGCTGAGGGGCAGGGCAAAAAGGGGGCAATTTGGCTATATTGCTTTAAGCAACTTCTTCTCAGGAACAAAGGGATGGATATCAACCATATTTGACTGGAAGCATCCCTATGTGGTGGGTATTCAAAATTGTACAAATAGTGGGGGGGGGGGCAAAAAGGGGGCAATTTGGCTATATTTCTTTAAGCGACTTCTCTAGAACTATGCCATGGATATCGATCATATTTGGTGGGAAGCATTCATGGGAGGCAGGGATTCAAAATTGTACAAATGGTTGGGCTGACCCCCGGGCTAAGGGGTGGGCCCAAAAAAAGTTTATTACTTGGAAATGGTTGAGATCCCCACCATATAACCATATATACAATTGCTGAGTATAAAGAGAAGAATGCACATTTGCTTCCAGGATGGCACTAGGGGACTGCCCCACCCTTGGAGACTTAACCCCTGGGTCATAACTTTGAAACGGTTGAGATCCCCACCCCAAAACTATATATACAAACGCTAGGCAAAAAGAGACAAATGCAGTCATGATATTAGAATTGACCCTGGGATCTGGCCACAACCGTAGGGACCTAGTTTCTGAGTGACAGCTTGGAAACAGTTGAGATCCCCACCCCATAACCATACATAAAATTGCTCGGCATGAAAAATCGAATACAGATATGCTTCAAGGATTGGCCTTGGGGTCTGGCATGTTCCCTTGGATCTCATTTGGAGAATATTTTGCCATGATTGCTTAGATATCCAGGTGAGCGATACAGGCCCTCTGGGCCTCTTGTTTAAAATTATAAAAGATATATGAATTGTTGAACAAAGCTACATTTACCAGACTGCTAATACAACAAATGTAGTTTTACATCTTTTTTCGGAATTTTTTGCCCTAGTTTTATGATTTTATTGATTAATTGTTTATCACTTGTAGATATGCACTGACCAATTCTACCAAGCATGACTGGTCAAAACAGGTCACACCCATTTACTGCAGCGAGAAGGGACACAACTTTGAAAATTGGGTCAGCACCTGGACAGGCTACTTGTCATCAAAGGTAAGTTCAAGCCAATGTCAAGGTCACATGAGGTCAGCATTTGGATAGGCTATCTGCCATCTATTTTAGAAAAGGTAAAGTTGTTGTAGATAAACGGGGGAAGGGTGTTGGAGGAGAGGAAGTCGGTCGGTTAGTGAAATGAGTGTTCGTTTTGTTTCAGGTAAAGAAAGGGTTTGCCCGTGAAGTCTTCCTGTCCTGTAGTGCTGTCATCAAACACAACGGGAACCTGGCCCTCTACATCCTGCCTTACGTTGTTCTACAGGTTCTCAGGGATGGCACTCCAGACGACATCACAGGTGTAAGTTATTGTATGATATTTTGACAGATTAAGCTATGTCGGTATAGTTAACGTTGTAACTCCTACTTTCTCTTTGAATGATAGATGACCCACATATCCTCAATCAGTTTACAAACTTATTGCATGGCTTCAAGGCCCTCTTCATAGGGAAGAGGGTCTTTGTCCAAGGGGAACAACTGTGCCAAAACAATTCTGTGTTCCATTACAAAGCATAGAGGTCCAATGCCCTCGTGGGCTCATGTCTTGTACAGGAGGGAAATTCCATATGTGGGAGACTCATTGGTCATCCATGCATTGACCACTGACCGCTATGCAATTTAAAAAAAAAAGGGTGACCCCTAACCCCAGTCAGACAAGTAGACATTCATTAAAACAATAAGTCACGGTGTTATAAATAGGACAAGAGCTTGCATACTTGCACCTTGTAAATATTAATTAAATCAACTAAAGTAAATAAGCATACATTTTCAGGAAGGATCCAATAACCACTGTCAAAAGCTGTAACTATGCGTTGGAAACTGTTTTTACAGGCACGTAAAGAAATTCTTAGTTTGTTGGTCCTTTATGAAAAGATAATAAAGATGAAATGAACAAAATATGATCAACAACAGTTTTCTGAGCGTAAGCATTTAGTGGGTTTTGCCGGGATTCGAAACCACAGACTTTAGACTGTTATACTCGAGCTCCCTCTCTAAGTCACAGAGTTATTTGGTCCACGCCCAATATTGCAATAAAGTTAAACCCAAAATGAAATTAGGGAAGGTTTCAATATTAACCACAGCAGCGCAGTGGGACAGGGATTCTTGAATGATGACAAGTGACATGCTGACATCACTGATTTAACGTACTCTTGGTGTATCGATACTGGACTACTTTTTCAGATCCACAATGAGATAACAGAGGTCCTCAATCAGGCCAAGAGACCAGATTCCAAGCAGAAGACAGCCAACCTTCACCACCTGAGTACCCAGACAATCTTCTCTGTGCTCGACTACCTCACCAGATGGATGCACGTCATGCCACAGGTCAAGGGAGTTGACCCTCACACCAAAGGTCAGCATGGAAATGCATCAACATTAATTACCACAACCCATATTCAAGGTCACAAGGATCAAATTTGCTCTAATCTTAAACAGGGATATGTTTCTTCCTTTTTTTTTTAGAGTATTTCTTCTTTTTCTCCTATTTTTCTCACACGTTAAAAAGTTTAGATGTTTTCCTCCTTTTTGAATTTGATTTCCTCCTTTTTTCCAGTCCCTAATCACATTCCTACCTAACTTAGCTGCTTAATAGCCAGGGGGCTAGAGGTATGATAGTCAGCCTGTAGCTTGCTAGGTGAAAGTTTGTCTGAATAAATGACCTTAGCCAACATTCAATGTCACAGGGAAAAAGTTTTGAAAATTGACTTGAGAGACCACCTCTATTAAGAGACCACCTGTGTTTAGGAACAACTTATAAAAATTCCTGTTGCAGTTAGTTACATGTAAACTGAACCTGTACTGAAAGAACAACTGGAATCAGAGACCACCTTATGGTCTTCTAGAAGGTGGTCTCTGAATACAGGCTTGACTATATATAAAGGAAATGGTGCTTGGTTTTGTAATTTTGGAGTTCCTGAGTAGCTGTGACCTTAACCTTTTTATTGACAGTGCCTGTGTGCCATGCTGATTCTACGTACAAAGCTATCCAGGCGTTCCGTCAGGTGATTGACCAGGACCTGCTGGCAGACGCTTGTTATAACTGCAAAGCTTACACTCGTGCTCTTATGCATTTCGAGCAGTTTTTGTCTAGCAAGGGCCACAATATCCAAGAACATCTTAACTTTATGCAGGTAATTAGTCAAAGACTACATGATATTGAATATTGAATGATATTTAAGAATGTAGACAGCTATTAAACACTTGTATATTAATGATTGTTGTTACTTCAGGCTGTATGTGACTATATTTACTGGCTGTATGTGACTATATTTACTGGCTGTATATGTCTATATTTACTGGCTGTATATGACTATATTTACTGGCTGTATATGACTATATTTACTGGCTGTATGTGACTATATTTACTGGCTGTATATGTCTATATTTACTGGCTGTATATGACTATATTTACTGGCTGTATATGACTATATTTCCTGGCTGTATGTTACTATATTTACTGGCTGTATATGACTCTATTTACTGGCTGTATGTGATAATGTGTTTACAGACTGTATGTTATATTATATTTCAGAAGTTGTACGTTGCTCTAGATGAGCCTGATGGAGTGCTAGGTGTGGCCGCAATTAGATTGGCTCCAACATTGACAGAGCAGATTCTCATACATGAAAGTCAAGGTAGGGACACAACGTATACATGGTAGTCAGGGTAGGGACACAACGTATACATGGTAGTCTGGGTAGGGACACAACGTATACATGGTAGTCAGGGTAGAGCTCGAATTTGAAAAAAAAAAAAATTGTTTGTTAAGGGTTTGAAGTGTTTATTATTAGGGTTGTGTATTGGAGATGTGATTACCCTATAGTAATCATGATGTCCATTTGTCTGTCTGCCCTTAAGTACTTTTTTCCAGAGATTATCTCAGATTCCAAATGATTAATCTTTTTGAAATTTGACATGGTGATGCATTGTAATATATAGGTGTGCAAAAGGGGTTAAACAATTCTCAAGTGTCAGGTCACTGTTACTAAAAAAGACTAAGAGGCTGGTGGAGGATGGGGAAGGGAATGGTCAAACACATGGGAGGGCCCTTGCTGACCTGTCGGTGTTCTAGCTTGTAAAGGGTTGAAATGTTGTTATCTCCAGGTCAGCATCAGTGTGCCCAGGCGTGCTATGAGAAAGCAATCCAGAGTGAGGCTGACAATGTAGTTCACCACCAGGGGCTACTGCGTAACTTGATTGAACTGGGAGAACACAGCAAGGCCTTGCTCCACGCCACGGGGGCCGTCGCTGAGAAACCCGACTGGGCTCATCACCTCAACGCATACATGGTGGAGTCAGCATGGAGATTGGGCAACTGGTCGAAACTGGAGAGCTGTATCAAGTCTGTAAGTTCATGATAGCATTAATACATACAGGAGAGCTTCATTAACAGCATTCTTCTTGTATGCAAACCTTTGTCGATGGTCGGTAATCTTGCCTACTTCCAAGTAATATCGTTCTCAAAGAAAAACCTATAACAGATTCAAGAGAAATGCAAACCCAATCAAAATATAATTTCAATATTATGATTCTGATTAGAAAAATGTTCTTAAAACAACATAACTACCCTTGTGTTTCCTGTAATCATTGTCATGTTACATTTTCCCCTAATTTTCCACATACTTAGATCTGACAATTTAAGTGCTTGTTTTGAGCTTTCTACATTTTATTTTATGTACCTTTGGCTTATGATTTAATCAATTCGGCCCTTCTACGTTCAAAAACTTTAAAATATCAGATTTAAGCAAGGCTACTACGTTCAGATATTGCATCGGAGTTACATGACCTTACAATCTGTACTTAATTTGTCTGGTGTTGACTGACAATGCTCACTGTCCGTTTATTACCACTTAATCCACACTGATTAAAAATATTGTACCATAATGTTATCAGTAATTATTTACATTATTTTTGCAGGACAAAAGCAGTAGGAACTGGGCTGTGGGTATCGGGAAGATTTTAATGGCGGCAAAAGATAGGGTAATTATAACATGACAGTACTGTGTGACACGGGTTGGTGACCAACTTGAATATATACTAAGTACAAGCTCATATGTTCAAACTAAGGGCATACTTGATTCTGATGTGCCAGTCATGCCGGGTTTGTGCTTTCCGGCGGCATACTACATACACGCAATATGGCCAACACAAGTCACATTGTCTCTCCAGTCCGGCAAAACTTCTTATCCAATGGCACGTGCCGAATTCACGTGACTTCAGGGGCATAATTGTGTATCAAGTGGTAGTGCCGCCTTCCCGGTGGCGACCGGCATGCCAGAATCAAGTTAGTCCATCAACTTTCTGTGATAATGTGCCTGAATGTTTAAATACAAACACATGTTCAAGTCATGACCACGAATGTTCAGGTATCTGCTGCAGCCTTCAACCTGTGAACAAACTCGTGAGCATTTGTTGTGTTCTGATTCTGTATTTGTCTGGATTTGTAAAATGTTTATTATGGCATTCACTTGTTCATTCTGAATCTTTGAACTGACAGAAATGTATACAGCGAAACATCATCGAAAGTTTTAGTTAAAGGAACATTCGGAGGTGATGTCTATCTGATGTTTGGTTTTAGAAATCTGAGCAACTGCGTAAACAGCTACAGATTGTGAGACGTGACCAGATGGCACCCCTGTCCGCAGCCAGTATGGAGACCGGATCGTACCATCGGGGGTACGAATATATAACAAGGTAGGGTCACACAGAGACAAGTATGGAGCATAGACCATACCACTTGGGATATGAATAATTAATGAGGTAGGCTCACACACACCCAACTATAGAGTGTGGAACATACCAACAGGTACACAAATAAGGTATATCTGATAACTGCTTTAGAGTCACTGTTCTGTCAAATTTGATGCCCACATATGTTACAAGGTCTGGGAAACATATTTTAACCCTGTAAATATACATTCTGCTTATAATATAAGGGGAGGGGGTTCAAATCACAAAACAGCTCAGGAATCACCAGCTTACATTTGATGCCTGAGCTTTGTTGTAATTGGAACCCCTCCCCTGATATTTACATATTTGATACCAATCACCCTGCATAGTGTTTGGTATCCATACTCGGAGCGAAGTGCCCGACTGATTGACACACTTATAACTGATACGACCTTGGCTCTACTACTTTAATTTGATACTGTTTATAAGGTACGATCAATGATGCGCAACCCATGCACTGAGAGGGGGACATAATGCCTGCGCAGTGCTGTACAATATTTAAACAATTTGTTAGTAAATTATTTTTATTTATATTCACATTACTTTGAGAGGGCAGATGTTCTCACCTTTCCGTATTGTTGTGCCCACAGACTACACATGCTAAGCGAGATAGAGGAGAGTGTAGGTGAGCTGATGGACCTTCACACGGAGGACAGCGGCTCCACTGCCAGCAAACATGCCACAGCTGACCTGCTTCGCCAGTGGGAATCTCGTCTACAAGTTATGCAGGTAAGTTAAAAAGATCAAGTCAAGCTTTGATTCATGTGATAAACTGGTCTAAGTTTTCAGCTTATATCTTAATCAACACTATTCAATGCTGTTTACTGTATACATTTTTTTGGGGGGATGAAACAGAAGAAAGAAATGCAACAGTTTTGCCAGAAGGACAATTACATTTAGGGTCTCTTCCACAGTTTTTGTTCTTGCTTTGATTTTGTAAACTTTGCAGCTATTTCACAACCGTTTAAGCTGTACTCCAAATGAATTGTGTTGCTTCATTTCAGTGTTCTTTTCGGATACAAGAGCCGGTTTTGACCCTACGGAGGATTCTATTTACTCTTGCGCAGCAGACCTCAGGTCAAGAGGTGGACCAGGAAATAGGCCACTGGTGGCTGTGGAGTGCTCGAATAGCTCAAAGGTCAGTACTTGTAAAGGTCATCTCCATAGGTCACTTGTGAGTCTGGAGTGCCGGAATAGCTCGAAAGGTCAATAGAAGTCAATGTCATCATGCAGTGTGGGTCACTGGCTCTGAAGTGTTAGAATAGTTCAAAGGTCAGTAATTTTAGAGGTCATCTCCATAGGTCACTGGTGGCTCTTGAGCGCCTCCATAGTTCAAGGTCAATAAATTCAAGTTTATCTTTACAGATCACTTGTGGCAGTGTATTGTCCACATAACTCAAAGTCAAGTCCTCTACAGTTAGACACACTATATATATGGAAATTAAATTTAAGATTTACTTTGCTTCTACAGAGCAGGCCATCTACAGACAGCGTTTAGCTGTCTACTCCAGGCCAGTGACTACAATCTACCCCAAGTGTTCCTGGAGAGGGCTGAGTGGCTGTGGACCAAGGTAGGTAGATATGTGTGGGTGTTCTTGGAGAGGGCTGATCATGAGTGGCTGTGGACCAAGGTAGGTAGATGTGAGGGGGTGTTCCTGGAGAGGGCTGAGTGGCTGTGGACCAAGGTAGGTAGATGTGTGAGGGTGTTCCAGGAGAGGGCTGAGTGGCTGTGGACCAAGGGAGGTAGATGTGTGGGGGTGTTCCTGGAGCGGGCTGAGTGGCTGTGGACCAAGGTAGGTAGATGTGTGGGGGTGTTCCTGGAGAGGGCTGATCATGAGTGGCTGTGGACCAAGGTAGGTAGATGTGTGGGGGTGCTCCTGGAGAGGGCTGAATGGCTGTTGACCAAGGTAAGAAGATTTGTGGGGGTATTCCTGGAGAGGGCCGAGTGGCTGTGGACCAAGGTAAGTTGATGTGTGGGGGAGGAAAGAGGTAGCTAACGTTTATTTTCTGAGGATACTAAGTGACAGCTAGTGTCACTTAGTATCCTCAGAAAATAAACTTTTCTAAACTAGCCTAAGGTTAGAAAATAAACTTTTCTAAACTAGCCTAAGGTTAGAAGGGGAGAATAGTGCAGGAATCGGTTCAATTAGTGGAGGAAGATACTGTATACTGGGTTATTTTCGACGCAGTGTTCTTTTTCACACATTTTGCAGAAGAATTGTTTTAAAATGCTACATCTGTTTTTATACACCCGTCAAATTTGACGGGAGTATTATGGTATGGCGTCGTCTGTCCGGCCAGCCGGCATAAACTTTTGTTTGTCTGGCAATCTTCTCCTACAGTTTTCGACCGATCTCTTTAAAACTTGGTATACATTATAATTTGAAATTGTGTCTCCCTTAAAAAGAATTTTGATTCGAAAAAATTTCCAAAAGTTATTGCCCTTTGTTCATTTCAGTATTTTATTTTTTTGTCCGGAGATTTTCTCCTACATTTTTTATAGCATGTCAGCTAACCACTCTTAGAATTATGCAGATCTTATTTCAATTTATTACATTCTTACTAATAAATACAGATTTTTTGTATATGCGGTACGACACAATTCCTCTAACCCATATCAGCCCTCGCCGTATCACACCCCAAAATCTGTATCAGCCCCCGCCGTATCACACCCCAAAACCCGTATCAGCCCTCTCCGTAATCAGCTCGCAAAACCTGTATCACACCCTCTTTGGAAATTTTCCGTTTTTCAATATTTCAAAAGAAAAATAGATCATAGGATAGTAGCTTTTATTAGTAAGTATGTAATAAACAGAATAAAACATGCCTTTTCCCACATCACACCCAGTATCAACCCTCGACCAATATCAGCCCTCAGGGTGATCTTGCAGTCTCAAGTTGATACTGGGTGTGATATGGAAAAAGGCATGTATTATTCTCTATGTAAAAAAGTAAATACCATGTACACTATATGGCATTCGACGGGCGTATATTGTTCCGCCCCACGGTACTCTCGTTAAGATTGTAGATCATACCACAGACCTGTAACAGAGATGATACACAATAGAAAGTTAGAATGATTCACTAGGTTGAAGGAGAACTCTTTTCCATGAACTCTATACTGTGAAATTATTATTTTCCTGACAAAAACTAGCTTGAATTCAAAGCTGTAAACATTATTTAAAAAATGTGCTAATGTTAGAGGGAAAGGTAAGATGAATCTGGACTAGATTAATGGGAGCGAGTAGAACAGTCACATGATGAAAGGTAAGATGAATCTGGACTAAGATTAATGGGAGATAGTAGAACAGTCACATGATGAGAGGTAAGATGAATCTGGACTAGATTAATGGGAGCGAGTAGAACCGTCACATGATGAAAGGTAAGATGCATCTGGACTAAGATTAATGGGAGCGAGAAGAACAGTCACATGATGATAGGTAGGATGAATCTGGACTAAGATTAATGGGAGAGAGTAGAACAGTCACACATGATGATAGGTAAAATGAATCTGGACTAAGATTAATGGGAGAGAGTAGAACAGTCACATGATGATAGGTAAGATGAATCTGGACTAAGATTAATGGGGGAGAGTAGAACAGTCACATGATGAAAGGTAAGATGAATCTGGACTAAGATTAATGGGAGAGAGTAGAACAGTCACATGATGATAGGTAAGATGAATCTGGACTAAGATTAATGGGGGAGAGTAGAACAGTCACATGATGAAAGGTAAGATGAATCTGGACTAAGATTAATGGGAGAGAGTAGAACAGTCACATGATGATAGGTAAGATGAATCTGGACTAAGATTAATGGGGGAGAGTAGAACAGTCACATGATGAAAGGTAAGATGAATCTGGACTAAGATTAATGGGAGAGAGTAGAACAGTCACATGATGATAGGTAAGATGAATCTGGACTAAGATTAATGGGGGAGAGTAGAACAGTCACATGATGAAAGGTAAGATGAATCTGGACTAAGATTAATGGGAGAGAGTAGAACAGTCACATGATGATAGGTAAGATGAATCTGGACTAAGATTAATGGGGGAGAGTAGAACAGTCACATGATGAAAGGTAAGATGAATCTGGACTAAGATTAATGGGAGAGAGTAGAACAGTCACATGATGATAGGTAAGATGAATCTGGACTAAGATTAATGGGGGAGAGTAGAACAGTCACATGATGAAAGGTAAGATGAATCTGGACTAAGATTAATGGGGGAGAGTAGAACAGTCACATGATGAAAGGTAAGATGAATCTGGACTAAGATTAATGGGAGAGAGTAGAACAGTCACATGGTGATAGGTAAGATGAATCTGGACTAAGATTAATGGGAGAGAGTAGAACAGTCACATGATGATAGTTGATGGATAGGAAGGGAAGGTACATGAATTTGGACCATAACAACAATCATTAAGCTCACTACATCCCGACATTTTCTTTGCCTAACTTTTATATTTATGTTTATCAGGGAGAAAAAGACCAAGCCATCTTGTGTCTGGAGCGAGGAATGTCCGTCCATTTTGAGGATGTTTCCAAATTGAAACTGGACGGTTCAGCACAGACGGACAACAAACGCAAGACATATGCCAAGGTACAAAAATTTCAATAGCTTAACAGCTTAACTTGTAGGAGTGTAAGAACTGTGTTTTGGAACATTTCATCATGGCAGAGCAGTAGGCACTTTTCAATCCATATATGGTGTGTAGCAGTTGGTAATTTCTGCTATATTGAAACATTGATAGACCACCTCTTTTGGGAAATTTAGTGTGTGGGACAAAATGTAAGGTTAACAAGTTAACCAGGAGATTACTCTAACAATGATTTGAATGCTTAAAAACATAATTTTCAGGTAAGATTTATGCAGATAACCACAATGGTAAGTGTTAATCTAGTTGATCTTTAACCTACAGGCATTGCTGTTGTACGGGTGCTACAGTGAAGAAACATCTAAGATGGAGAGTAACGTGATCTTGAAGCAGTACAAAGAAGTGACAGACGTCTACCCAGACTGGGAGGACGGACATTTCCACTTGGCAAAGTATTACGACAAGATCATGACCACTCTGCTGGAGGACAAGGACAAACCTGATCCTTCTCGCCAACGGTAAGGTCACACCTACAACGGTAAGGTCACACCTACAATGGTAAGGTCACACCTACAACGGTAAGGTCACACCTACAACGGTAAGGTCACACCTACAACAGTAAGGTCAAAACTACATCGGTAAGGTCACACCTACAACAGTCAGGTCACACCTAACACGGTAAGGTCACCCCTACAACGGTAAGGTCACACCTACAACAGTAAGGTCACACCTACAACAGTAAGGTCGAAACTACAACGGTAAGGTCACACCTACAACAGTCAGGTCACACCTACAATGGTAAAGTCACACCTACAACGGTAAGGTCACACCTACAACAGTAAGGTCACACCTACAACAGTAAGGTCAAAACTACAATGGTAAGGTCACACCTACAACAGTCAGGTCACACCTAACACTGTAAGGTCACACCTACAACGGTAAGGTCACACCTACAACAGTAAGGTCAAAACTACAACAGTAAGGTCACACCTACAACAGTCAGGTCACACCTTACACGGTAAGGTCACACCTACAACGGTAAGGTCACACCTACAACAATAAGGTCACACCTACGACAGTAAGGTCACACCTACGACAGTAAGGTCACACCTACGACAGTAAGGGCGCACCTACGACAGTAAGGTCACACCTACGACAGTAAGGTCACACCTACAATGGTAAGGTCACACCTACGACGGTAAGGTCACACCTACGACGGTAAGGTCACACCTACAACGGTAAGGTCACACCTACAACAGTAAGGTCACACCTACAACAGTAAGGTCAAAACTACAACAGTAAGGTCAAAACTACAACGGTCAGGTCACACCTACAACAGTAAGGTCACACCTACAACGGTAAAGTCACACCTACAACGGTAAGGTCACACCTACAACAGTCAGGTCACACCTACAACGGTAAGGTCACACATACAACAGTAAGGTCACACCTGTAAGAGTGAGGTCACGCATACAACGGTAAGGTCACACCTACAACAAAAAGGTCAAACCTGTAAGAGTAAGGTCACACATACAACGGTAAGGTTACACCTACAACAAAAAGGTCACACCTGTAAGAGTGAGGTCACACCTACAAAGGAGAGTTCAAACCAAAAACAGTAAGGTCACACACCTGTAAGAGTGAGGTCACATATACAATGGTAAGGTCACACCTACAACAGTAAGGTTGCACCTACAACATTGCCCCTTTTCTGATTGTAGCCTTGGGTTGTTGGATTAAACACACAAACTCCATATAGATTTGGTTTTCTTTATTAATTGACATGAAGAAAAGGGACAAATAAAACCTACAAGACAATAAAATTAACTTGATATGTGAGACATCTCACATAGGGCAAACATCAGAATATAGACAAGGAACGGAACAACAGCAAAATGTGTTACATGTTTATATTATTATTGATAATCTTATACAGTAATATATACCGGGAACAGCTTTGTGTAGTATATTATAAGTAATGTTCAGTACTGACGTATATTGCAGGGCGTCAGTAGAGTAATGCAGACCTGCGACCTAGGGCCCCGGGACCTTACATACAGTGTTAATGGTGGCAGGAAACACAGGACATAGACAAGACATATAACACAGTATATTACATCACACAGTGTTTATATAACTGAATACATGTACCCCTATACATATAGTATAACAATGGGCTACATGATTTTCTCTCCATCAGTTTTTTTCCCCAAGTGTGCTACTGCTTACCTCTTTGGCCAATTTTTTCATGAAACTTGATTGGTACTTTTCGGGCATCTCTTTCAGTTGCACAATTTTGTGTTATGTAATTGATGCAATAAATTTTGAAAACAAAATACTGTACCTTTGTTGTAGAGAGTTTATCCACCATGTGGTGAAATCCTTCGGACAGTCCCTCCAGTACGGTAACCAATACATCTACCAGTCCCTGCCGCGCCTCCTCAGTCTGTGGCTCGACTTCGGCACAAGTGTAGCCGAGATGGAGAAAAGGGACGTGTCCCGAAACCAGCAACTTGCCCACAAACTTCAGATCATGAGAACCACTTTAGCCAAGCTCAATAAGGTATACATTTTGAACTGTGTCAATTTCTCCTAGCAGCTCAAAGTTCATCTAGTTGTGATTTGAGGATTGTCAGTTTCACCTTTTTAATGCTACCAGCATTGAAGCAGCCTTAACAGACTTAGTACTGGAAATAGTATTGTATTGATATAACAGTTGATGTGTAGTGTAGGACATATCACTTAGCGTATAGGATGCATTATGACAAACTATAGAAATGTAAATATATTATTTTTGTTTTACAGTTGGTGTGCAGTCTAGGACAACAGTTAGCCCCCTACCAGTTGTTCACCGCCTTCTCACAGCTGACATCCCGGATCTGTCACACCCAGCCAGATGTATTTCAACAGCTCCGGGTAAATATATTTTCTCACACCCAGCCAGATGTATTTCAGCAGCACAGGGTAAATATATTGTCTCACACCCAGCCATATGTATTTCAATAGCTCAGGGTAAATATATTGTCTCACACCCAGCCAGATGTATTTCAGCAGCTCAGGGTAAATATATTGTCTCACTCCCAGCCAGATGTATTTCAGCAGCGCAGGGTAAATATATTGTCTCACTCCCAGCCAGATGTATTTCAGCAGCACAGGGTAAATATATTATCTCACACCCAGCCATATGTATTTCAACAGCTCAGGTTAAACATATTGTCTCACACCACCTACAATGGTAAGGTCACACCTACAACAGTCAGGTCACACCTACAATGGTAAGGTCACACCTACAACGGTAAAGGAAAGGTAAGATGAATCTGGACTAAGATTAATGGGGGAGAGTAGAACAGTCACACGATGAAAGGTAAGATGAATCTGGACTAAGATTAATGGGGGAGAGTAGAACAGTCACACGATGAAAGGTAAGATGAATCTTAGTCCAGATTCATCTTACCTTTCATCGTGTGACTGTTCTACTCTCCCCCATTAATCTTAGTCCAGATTCATCTTACCTATCATCATGTGACTGTTCTTCTCTCTCCCATTAATCTTAGTCCAGATTCATCTTACCTATCATCATGTGACTGTTCTAGAAATATAAAAGCTTCAAAACCCAAACCACACACACGCACAACTGCATAATCATATCCTAACATATTGAAATACATCCGGCTGGGTGTGAGACAATATATTATTGTAACACCAATCTAGTGACAGGTATGATGTAGCCCTTTGTACGAGGCCTGAAACAATACATTGTAACACCAATCTAGTGCCAGGTTTGATGTAGCCCTTTGTACGAGGACTGAAACACTACATTGTAACACCAATCTATTGTAACACCAATCTAGTGACATGTTTGACGTAGCCCTACAAAGGGCTACATCAAACCTGGCACTAGATTGGTGTTACAATAGATTGGTGTTACAATGTATCATTACAGTCCTCGTACAAAGGGCTACATCAAACCTGTCCCTAGATTGGTGTTACAATAGATTGGTGTTACAATGTATTGTTTCAGGCCTCGTACAAAGGGCTACATCAAACGTGTCTCTAGATTGGTGTTACAATGTATTGTTTCAGGCCTCGTACAAAGGGCTACATCAAACCTGTCATTAGATTGGTTGTCTCACACCCAGCCAGTTGTATTTCAACAGCTCAGGGCAAACATATTGTCTCACACCCAGCAAGATGTATTTCAACAGCTCCGGGTAAATATATTTTCTCACCCCCAGCCAGATGTATTTCAGCAGCACAGGGTAAATATATTGTCTCACACCGAGCCAGATGTATTTCAACAGCCCAGGGTAAACATATTGTCTTACACCCAGCCAGATGTATTTCAGCAGCGCAGGGTAAATATATTGTCTCACCCCCAGCCATATGTATTTCAACAGCTCAGGGCAAACATATTGTCTCACACCCCGCCAGATGTATTTCAACAGTTCAGGGTAAATATATTGTCTCACACCCAGCCAGATGTATTTCAATATGTTAGGATATGATCATGCAGTTGTGCGTGTGTGTGTTTTGGGTTTTGAAGCTTTTATATTTCATGTTTAGATGGCTAGATGTTTAACTATCAAGTTTTGACATTTTATATTAAGATAACATATGGTTTTATGTTCAACTTCAAGATTGTTTTATTTTTAGGTCGTATAAATAAATGTCTTTACTTAAAAGTTTGATGATTGATATTTGCAATTTGAAAACAAAATTTGCAATTTGAAAACAAAATCTCTCTGGGTCTGGTATATCGGAATGTTGTACTTTCAGGAAATCATTGCTCGTCTGTTTGCCCAGTTTCCTCAGCAAGGCATGTGGATGTTGATGGCAGTGTCGAAGGTCAGCTGCATTTTTTTAAAGTCCTGCTTATCTTTGCTTACGGAACTACGAGAAAAACAAATTCCATCGGCAATTCACAAAGAATAGCTACTGGTCAGACACATAGAAATTATTGGTTTTGCCGTAATTTGTGTTCATTTTACAATGATGTATATAATATTTCTCAAATCTTACTATTTCTCATGCCTATTATAAGAGGGGATTTTTTTTTATTATGGCATTTGTTTTTAGATATTTTGTTGTTTGTCATATAGTAAATCTTAAAAAGTGACTCAAGCAAATACAAATATTGATTTTATTCCAAGAATGTACATTTAAAAGCTGCTGTATCCTCCTTATTATTTGCGATAATTTATTAGTCAGGGCTAGCTGCATCAAACGTGTCACTAGATTGGTGTTACAATGTATCGTTTCAGTCCTCGTACAAAGGGCTACATCAATCGTGTCACTAGATTGGTGTTGCAATGTATCGTTACAGTCCTCGTACAAAGGGCTACATCAAACCTGTCACTAGACTGGTGTTACAATGTATCGTTTCAGTCCTCGTACAAAGAGCTACATCAAACGTGTCACTAGAGTGGTGTTACAATGTATCGTTACAGTCCTCGTACAAAGGGCTACGTCAAACATATCACTAGATTGGTGTTACAATGTATTGTTTCAGTCCTCGTACAAAGGGCCACATCAAACATGTCACTAGATTGGTGTTACAATGTATCGTTTCAGTCCTCGTACAAAGGGCTACATCAAACCTGTCACTAGATTGGTGTTACAATGTATCATTACAGTCCTCGTACAAAGGGCTACGTCAAACATGTCACTAGATTGCCAGTCCTCCTACAAAGGGCTACATCAAACCTGTCACTAGATTGGTGTTACAATGTATCGTTTCAGTCCTCGTACAAAGGGCCACATCAAACTTGTCACTAGATTGGTGTTACAATGTATCGTTTCAGTCCTCGTACAAAGAGCTACATCAAACCTGTCACTAGATTGGTGTTACATGTATCGTTTCAGTCCTCGTACAAAGGGCTACATCAAACCTGTCACCAGATTGGTGTTACAATGTATCGTTACAGTCCTCGTACAAAGGGCTACATCAAACCTGTCCCTAGATTGGTGTTACAATGTATCGTTTCAGTCCTCGTACAAAGGGCCACATCAAACATGTCACTAGATTGGTGGTACAATGTATCGTTTCAGTCCTCGTACAAAGTGCTACATCAAACCTGTCACTAGATTGGTGTTACATGTATCGTTTCAGTCCTCGTACAAAGGGCTACCTCAAACCTGTCACTAGATTGGTGTTACAATGTACCGTTTCAGTCCTCGTACAAAGGGCTACATCAAACCTGTCCCTAGATTGGTGTTACAATGTATCGTTTCAGTCCTCCTACAAAGGGCTACATCAAACATGTCACTAGATTGGTGTTACAATGTATCGTTTCAGTCCTCGTACAAAGGGCTACCTCAAACCTGTCACTAGATTGGTGTTACAATGTAACGTTACAGTCCTCGTACAAAGGGCTACGGCAAACATGTCACTAGATTGCCAGTCCTACTACAAAGGGCTACATCAAAACTGTCACTAGATTGGTGTTACAATGTATCGTTACAGTCCTCGTACAAAGGGCTACATCAAACCTGTCCCTAGATTGGTGTTACAATGTATCGTTTCAGTCCTCGTACAAAGAGCTACATCAAACCTGTCACTAGATTGGTGTTACATGTATCGTTTCAGTCCTCGTACAAAGGGCTACATCAAACCTGTCACCAGATTGGTGTTACAATGTATCGTTACAGTCCTCGTACAAAGGGCTACATCAATCCTGTCACTAGATTGGTGTTACAATGTATCGTTTCAGTCCTCGTACAAAGGGCTACATCAACCCTGTCACTAGATTGGTGTTACAATGTATCGTTACAGTCCTCGTACAAAGGGCTACGTCAAACATGTCACTAGATTGCCAGTCCTACTACAAAGGGCTACATCAAACCTGTCACTAGATTGGTGTCACAATGTATCGTTTCAGTCCTCGTACAAACGGCTACATCAAACGTGTCACTAGATTGGTGTTACAATGCATCGTTTCAGTCCTCGTACAAAGGGTTACATCAAACCTGTCCCTAGATTGGTGTTACAATGTATCGTGTCAGTCCTCGTACAAAGGGCTACATGAAACGTGTCGCTAGATTGGTGTTACAATCTATCGTTTCAGTCCTCGTACAAAGGGGTCAATCAAACCTGTCACTAGATTGGTGTCACAATGTATCGTTTCAGTCCTCGTACAAACGGCTACATCAAACGTGTCACTAGATTGGCGTTACAATGTATCGTTTCAGTCCTCGTACAAACGGCTACATCAAACGTGTCACTAGATTGGTGTTACAATGCATCGTTTCAGTCCTCGTACAAAGGGGTCAATCAAACCTGTCACTAGATTGGTGTAACAATTTATCGTTTCAGTCCTCGTACAAAGTGAGAGTCAGTCGCTGCAGGGACATATTCGCGAGAGCTGAGTAAGTAGCATGTCTTATTCAGCCACATGAGATGTAGTTTCAGTCCTCCTACAAAGGGCTACATCAAACCTGTCAATAGATTGGTGTTACAATGTATCGTTACAGTCCTCGTACAAAGGGCTACATCCAACCTGTCACTAGATTGGTGTTACATGTATCGTTTCAGTCCTCGTACAAGGGCTACATCAAACGTGTCACTAGATTGGTGTTCCAATGTATCGTTTCAGTCCTCGTACAAACGGCTACATCAAACGTGTCACTAGATTGGTGTTACAATGCATCGTTTCAGTCCTCGTACAAAGGGGCGACATCAAACCTGTCACTAGATTGGTGTTACATGTATCGTTTCAGTCCTCGTACAAACGGCTACATCAAACGTGTCACTAGATTGGCGTTACAATGTATCGTTTCAGTCCTCGCACAAAGGGCTACATCAAACGTGTTGCTAGATTGGTGTTACAATGTATCGTGTCAGTCCTCGTACAAAGGGCTACATCCAACCTGTCACTAGATTGGTGTTACATGTATCGTTTCAGTCCTCGTACAAGGGCTACATCAAACGTGTCACTAGATTGGCGTTACAATGTATCGTTTCAGTCCTCCTACAAAGCGCTACATCAAACCTGTCACTAGATTGGTGTTACATGTATCGTTTCAGTCCTCGTACAAGGGCTACATCAAACGTGTCACTAGATTGGTGTTCCAATGTATCGTTTCAGTCCTCGTACACAGGGCTACATCAAACCTGTCACTAGATGGGTGTTACAATGTATCGTTTCAGTCGTCGTACAAAGGGCTACATCAAACCTGTCAATAGATTGGTGTTACAATGTATCGTTACAGTCCTCGTACAAAGGGCTACATCCAACCTGTCACTAGATTGGTGTTACATGTATCGTTTCAGTCCTCGTACAAACGGCTACATCAAACGTGTCACTAGATTGGTGTTACAATGCATCGTTTCAGTCCTCGTACAAAGGGGTCAATCAAACCTGTCACTAGATTGGTGTTACATGTATCGTTTCAGTCCTCGTACAAATGGCTACATCAAACCTGTCACTAGATTGCTGTTACAATGTATCGTTTCAGTCCTCGTACAGAGTGAGAGTCAGTCGCTGCAGGGACATATTCGCGAGAGCTGAGTAAGTTACAATGTATCGTTTCAGTCCTCTTACAAAGGGCTACATCAAACCTGTCCCTAGATTGGTGTTACAATGTATCGTTTCAGTCCTCGTACAAAGTGAGAGTCAGTCGCTGCAGGGACATATTCGCGAGAGCTGAGTAAGTAGCATGTCTTATTCAGCCACATGAGATGTAGTCATTTTCTTTTTGCAATTTAAATCAAGAAAACAACCCAAACATTTAAAGGCAAATATTGTTCTATAGATTTTGCTTCTATTGGAAAATAATTTGTTACTATATGTATATAAGAAGTGTATTCATGTTAAAATTAGATAATTATATGTCTGTGCACAAGTATTGATTATTAGATAATTTGATGACTGTGAATTAGTGTTGATAATTCGATGTCTGTGCGTAAGTGTTGATAATGGAATATTTTATTTTAAAAACTTTTCCAGGCAGATCAATCCAGGTTTACAGAAATTTGTGAAGGTAAGTTTAAATTTAGATTAGTTTGTTTAGCTTATAAACGTTATTTCCTAGTAAAGCTGTCAGTCATTATTTTGTACAGTATAAACTAATTACTCAGATTATGATATCATTAATTCGACCGGTAAGAATTTTGAAATGTACAAGTGGAAGTGTTCTCAGTTGTGTATTGTAGAAAGGTTATGTATCACAACCAGTGTTTATGTGTGAGGTCTTGATTACTAGTATGATACGTACCCTGTCACCTTCATCAGACCCTATCACCTTCATCAGACATCATACCTAGTCATCTTCATCAGACACGTCTGATGAAGGTGACATGGTACGTATCATACTTCTAGTCATCAAGACATCACACATAAACACTTACTGGTTGTGATACATAACTTTTCTACAATTTATACTTACTAACCTGAAGAAAATGTTTAGAAAACTTCTCTATTGTGTATTCTGATGTATAACTTGGAGATGTTCTCTCTCAGCTTACTATACTGTATTGGTGTATGATTATAACAGGATTCGACCAAGCTCACTGACCGTCTACTGGAGCTGTGTAACAAAGAGTATACCGGCTCTAATAACATGAGTGTGTCACAGCACTTCAAACCGCTCAAACGTCTGCTCGATGACAGGTAAAGATTACAAGTTACTTACTGGGTGGTAGTTCGACATTCCAACACAATGAACAAGTTGTAATTTAACAGGGACTGTTATATAATATCAGTCCCAGAGACTGCCCCTGTAGTTGACCTTGCGTTGGAGCTAAATCAGACAAAGAGAGGGATTGTTGGCATCACCTTGGTTTACACCCATAAATGTGTTGGTCATCATAGGCCACAGTGGCATGTTTGATGACTGATCGGAAAATGAAATGCGTTAAACACAAATTCGCATGCCAACTAATTGACACAGAAGATTCTAAGTAATAGATCGAAATCCTGCAAGAGTAATAAAACACATTTTAGGGACTGAATTTGTTCTTTTTCCCCTTGTTTGTTCATTTTACTGCTCAACTTACAGATTATAGATATTGATTTCAGGATTGATTGATGCTTCGGCTGCAAGCTTAAGGAGGCTAAGAGCAGAGATAATAACTTGTTTTTGCTGTATGTTGACAGTGAGTTCAGCAGAATAATTCTGCCCCTCCAGTCCAACATGACAGTGATGCTGCCCAATACTCCTGGATCACACTCATCACACAACCCTTTCCCTGGAAAAGAGGTGTTCATTAACGGCATTGATGACATGGTTAGTAGCGTTAGTCATGTCCTCCAGGGCACTTTTGTATTTACAGCTCACCTGGTTGTGGTGCTTTGTCCATATGCGTGATTCGTCATCTCTCGTCTATCGACACTTGCATGAAACAACATCTCCCCTAAAATTACGAAGTAGTTTTCAACCAATTTTTGGGTGGCAAGGACCGCTAGAGGATCACCTGCTGCGTGAGACACGGTACCTTTACGCAGTCCAGGTCAATCCCATGGCAGGTCATAATCATCCTAGGTCAATGCTTAGCGGTCCCAGGTCAACTCACTGTCAAAGTCTCAACCTCTCAAGTAACGTCAAAATGATGTCACGACTGCCTCCATCGCTAAGGAAAATGCCATCTTGCTATGCTGTTAATGCTGCTAACACCCCACAGAGTTAGATCTGCCGCCCGTCATGGCGGTCAAAAAGTAAGAATGCTTAGGGGCAGCGTCAAAAGGGCTGAAACTGTCGGATTTGCTTTAAACGATACCTTGCGAAACTACCTGACAGGTTTCAATCAAATTTTGATGGAAGAACCCATAGTCAATAGGGGTCCAATATTGTATGATTGAAGTAGCTAGCATTCCTTCATGTACTCTTCCTAATGAGCATGTTTTGAAATAGCCAGGTGAACAATTCAAGGGCCTTGGGTCTTTTGTTTTCTACAAATGATAACAGGATTGATGGTAACAGAGCTGTGGGATTTTCTACAAATGATAACAGGATTGATGGTAACAGAGCTGTGGGATTTTCTGCCTTCAGGTGGGTTTTTTCTATAAATCTTTAAAGGCGTTACCATGATAGACTGAGGTGAGATGTACATCAGGATTATTGACCTCATGATGTACTTTGATACATTTAAGGATCCCTGTCCCTCCGCACTGTGGTTTATCTTATATACAGTAACCTCCCCTTAACTTCCATTTGGATATAACTGTATCACTGTTGGGCCAGAACACATTCGTTGACCAGGTAGCTCAATCGATTAGAGCAACAATAAAACAATCTGAGGTCCAGGGTTCCTGTTCCAGCCACACTAAATGTTTACTCTCTAAGCATTGTTGTTGATTACATTTTGTTTATTTTATCTTTATTATTTCTCATAAAAGTCCCGCAAGGTATGGTTTTCTTTTCCGAAAAGGTTTATTAAAGCCATAATCATGTCAAATAAAACAAAATGTCCAACACTTCAAGTTTCAGTTATCAGCAGTGATACGGGGATCCTTAATGCAGTAAAATATCTAACTTCCATGCTTTGTTATGTTTCAGTTTTGTTTAAGGGATATACAGTGTAACTATATGATTTTAAAGTAAGTCTCCTCCTGCCTGCAGTAACAGTTGGAATGTTGACACCAGATAATCATTGTTAATCTATATTTCACTTTACAGATTGAGATCCTGCCTTCTTTACAGAGACCTAAAAAGATCAACCTGATCGGAAGTGATGGTCAATATTATACCATGATGTGTAAACCCAAGGTACGGCAATCTAAGACAATTCTTCTTAGGAACCTTAATTCCTTGTGCTAGAGTGTCACTATATTTAGCACATAGATTTCAGGGGTGATAAAAATAAAATACTGTATAGCCCTTTAGATTTGCAGGGTCAATATTTTGCAGTCTCGAAATACAGGTTAACCGTTTGAAAACACCGATCCACAGCATCGTCATCCGCCAGTGACTTCACTCGAAAGAAAATCAAATATGTATGTAACCTTTGTAGGAGTAAACTGTAATCAATTAATTACCTACTGGGGACACATAAATATGTTGTGGCCAATTATATGTAAGTGTTGTTTTTACATCGACTGCCAAGTTGTCCTGTGATAATCTGATTTGAGTTCATTTAAGCTTGCATAACAGCGTTGGGTGATAAGAATTTTCAACATGTTGTGATAAGGTCCGTAAAAGTGGTTAACATTTTTTGATAATTTCGCTGGTGTTTTTAATTCGCGGATATTAGTCAAAGTGTGAAAATAGCGAAATATAACCGCTATACAGCATTCACAATGACCTACATCAAAGGTCACATGCATATGTAACTTAAAGATCAGATATGACAAATTCATTACACCTTATGATATTTGAAGAGTTCAACAATGTTCAAGTTGACTATTTACTGCTGTTTTTGAGACTAAAATAACCTACCTGACACAAGTATTGCCCTACATGGTCTACTACCAAGAAAATCATGTAATTATACATCTTTTCTAATCACCGAAAGTCATCAATATTCATAAGCAGTATCTTATAGCCAATGTTAAGGCTATAAAATTCAGAAACAATGTTTACCTAGTGTACTTTGTATACACTCTTTGGAAAATCGATAAATTTTGCATTGATTCTGAGAAATACAGATGAAATTCTCAATTGCATGGGCCTTAATATATGCAGCCTCCCCCCACCACACACAAACAAATAAATGAAATGAAATAAAATAAAAATGGGCAGGTAATTATTATTGCAACTCACACTGTCGGCTCTGTATAACCTAACGCACACTGTCTCCAAACAGGATGATCTGAGAAAAGATGGCCGCTTGATGGAATTTAATGACATCGTCAACAAGTTCCTCAGGAAGGATCCGGAATCAAGGAGGAGGCGACTCCATATTCGTACCTATGTAAGTGTGTACTTTTGTTACAGAATAATTGACCTAGTCAGTTATGTCATTCTAGTCTTGACATTATTAAGGATCCCTGTCCCACTGTAGACAAAACAATAAGATTTCCACCATGTTTTGTTTTGTATACACAGTAACCTCCCCTTATAGCCACAGTATAATCATTGAAGGTCCAGAGTTTGAAACCTTTACTGGCCCCCTGCTGAAAATGTTTGTCATGGGCATACCTTCTATTTCACCAGGAGTAACCACCGATCTAGTATATCTTGGCTGACAGTGTACAAGATACAAGTCACTGTGACCTATATAATGAGATAGTTGTACAACTCAATAAATAAAGTAATCGTTACCACCACATTTAAGAGTTCTGCAATTAAATCAATGCTATAGTCATAGCTGAATAAAGGCCAATGAATAGTAAAGTTTTTGTCAGTGGTACAAGGATCCTTTACTGGTACTTTTTCCACATAATCTTTACATATTCCCACACTTTCCACATAATCTTTGCATATGCCCGCACTTTCCACATAATCTTTACATATGCCCACAATTTTAAATACACACATACTCTTCCCAATAATCTTTACTAGCACAGTTTCCCCCTCAAGGAATAGTGCAACATGATTGTGATGTTTAATAAATAAAGGACGAGAAAAGTCGACGAAGACTCCCTTTATTGTTTCCATCTCATAGAGGAGTTTACTTCACATACCTCGTGAGAGGGTGAAAATCTACAAAGCAAAACAGATAAAACACTCATAAGATTACTGAAAATGAACTAGGTCAAACAATGGTAATTATCTCAAACTGACAAAAAATGGTAAACATAGGAACTGTGTAAACAAAACTAATATGCGAAATAGAGGCGGGTACTAATTTCCGGACTATAAATTCCGGACCAAGACCGTCACAACGATTGTTGTATGTTGTTTCAGGCTGTCGTCCCTCTCAATGAGGAGTGTGGCCTGATTGAGTGGGTAAGCAATACTTTTGGACTGCGCCACATCCTGATGAAACTGTACAGAGAACGGGGCTTGTATACAAGTGGTAAAGAACTCAAGGCCATGATGCCGAAGATAACGGACAGCATTGAGTGAGTAGTAAAAATTAAAAATCTCAAAGTTTTTTGTTTCTTGAGATTGCTATTGATTTATTGTACAGCTCTTTATCAATTTCAGAAATTCCTAAACAACTAAAAATCAAATTTGTGTTTGGCATTTGTTTGAATGTTCTGAAACTATTTGCATATAAACAGTAATGAAAATGTGTCGTTTACAGAGTGAAGATGCAGTGTTTCAAAGAGAAGATGTTGGCGCGACACCCTCCATTGTTTCAGGAATGGTTTCTTAGAACCTTCTCTGACCCAACATCTTGGTAGGCCAAATGTTTTACTTGAAAAACGTCTTTTAATGGTAGATTTAGTCCCAAGTGATTATTCACAATACTGTCTGGCATGAAAAGTTTGTTGGTATTTTCCTTCGTAGCATTGAAGCCATGTAAGTTGTGTCTTGGTACAAACTTTTTTGGATACCCCATATAAGCAAACAGTAAGATATCAATCTAATTCCTTTTGTTTATTTTTGTGGTTCTAGAGCAACCACGAAAAACCCTGAATATCTATAAACAGCGAACGTTTCATGTCATACATTAAATGTTCTTATGCAGCATCACAAATTTCTTTTGTCTTCGTAACTTTTCTGATTGAAATGTCTTATATGATATACCTTTAGGCTGTATTTAGTCGTCACTCTGTCCATCTGTCCATCCGTTTTCGGGTGTTTGGGTTGCACAGATGATAGAAAACATACCTCTCACTAAGACCTATGTCAGTTGTAGCAGCATTTGTAAAGGACTTGTTTAACTAGAATAGCTTGTTCCATACAGGTACAACGCACGCCTGTCTTACGCACGAACGTGTGCTGTCATTAGTATGGTGGGCTACATACTCGGACTGGGAGACCGACACGGTGAGAACATCCTGTTTGACTCCACATGTGGTGACTGTGTCCACGTGGATTTCAACTGCCTCTTTAACAAGGTAGGATTTCAACTGCCTCTTTAACAAGGTAGGATTTCAACTGCCTCTTTAACAAGGTAGGATTTCAACTGCCACTTTAACAAGGTAGGATTTCAAATGTTTCTTTTAACAAATCAGTGTAGGATTTCAACTCTCAACTTGTTTAGATGTAAATTAAACTTTATATGTTTTCTATATACAACAATATATTTGAAAAGAATGACAAAGGAACATTGTGGTTATTCCTCATGCAAGGAATGGAAACTTTCATCTATGACATGTTCACATTTAGCACATATTATTGAATAAAAATAAAATCATACTAATCATACTAATTTTTACAGAAAATTATATTTATTTTTTGTCAGCTTTCTTCTAGAATGATGTACATTTATTGGCACAATATTATTGAAAGCAAGTTGAACCCATACTAGGACAGTTAAATAGTAACTTTGTAATAATTTAGCTAGGTTGTAAGATCATGATGAACAGAATCATGCGACCTATTTATCATTACGTGGGATAACAGTCTGTGTGGTTTGTTACAGGGTGAGATGTTTGAGTGGGCAGAGAAGGTACCGTTCCGCCTGACCCACAACATGATGAATGCACTGGTAAGTACTTCCTAGAACCCCTAAAGGGTCACAGTAATTGTTGTACATGAAACATTCTGTCTGAAATATTTTCTTTATGCCTACTTACATATGTGGATGAAGATCCTGACTCTGTTTCCCAGTAATGCTTTGACGATATTGTGTGGTTACCATGCCTTTTGATGAGATGCATTATATGTAATATACCACAATATAGTAATATTTTCTGATGTATCTTCTGGTTTGTTATGAGGTTATGTTTCGAATAAACTTCTTCTTATGAAACACGAGACCTAGAGGCATCATATCTGACCTGTTGCTTGCAGGAGTAAAGAGTGATAAAGTTAATGACAAAATGCATTGTGACCACCATGGCTTCTAGATTTGCAGGGACCCATGTTTCATCCTTTAACTCAATCACCCCTGAAGACACATTTGAACTCTTCCAATTCAAAGGCTGGTATAGTTCATCATGAAATTTCAGGGGTGAATGAGTTAACATTAAGTATATTTCACAAACAGGTGAGACCTTTGGGCCTCTTGTTTGTTAAATGGAGACAAAATATAAGTAGAATTTGATCAAATAATTTTTAGATTACCTGCCATAAATGTATGCATTGACATGGTAATCGCTCGTGCTTCCATCACATTGTGATAAATATCAAAAGTTATATTTTCACACTGAAAATATCACTTTTTGGTATTGACCAATCATAACGATATCTTCTATTCGCTGCATTCAAAGGCAACAATTTTTTGTTCAGATTCAAATGAAGCGACGGTAGAATAAGTGGTTGTTATGGTAAAGGTTTGGTACACACACTTCAAGTGTTTACCATAAATATACAGTTGATAACATTTTTATAAGCAATCATACCAGATTATAACAGAAAACGTCAGAATTGTGTTGAGTATCCCATTCAAAATGGCGCGCAGCCTTGTTGTCCAGCGTGACGTCATTATAGTATGTCACTAATTATTATGCTTCTGATTCCCGCCCTTTTTTTTAATGCATTACATGAAATACCCAAATATGTTTCACGAGTGTGGCTAATATTTTGATATATTTCACTCGTGCTATCAAAATATTAGCCACACTAGTGAAATATATTTGTTATTACTGAAGACACCATTAAATATCCTCTATTTATTAGGTCACCTGAGCTTTGCTCAAGTGACCTATTCTAATCGCTTTTCGTCCGTCGTCGTCCGTCGTGCGTCGTGCGTCGTGCATAAACTTTTACATTTTCAACTTCTTCTCAAGAACTAGTGGATGGAAACTTGGTCAGAATCATCCTTGGTAGATGAGGCTTCAAAATTGTAAAATTGGGATTCCTACCCCAACCCCTGGGGCCAGGGCGGGGCCCCAAAGGGAAAATTAACCAATATTTCAAAAATCTTCTTCTTCAGACTCAGAGGTACTACACTCATTTTCTCTGCGTGGAAAGAAAGATCATCAGGGGCTTTACTTAAATTGTAAATTTCAGGACCCCCGAGCTATCCGTTCTCCCTTGGGGAGGGGGTAAAGTTTACTATAGTTTATATAGGGAAATAACACTTTTGGGTATATATTTTATCCATTTTCAGCAGAAAATTACTCAAACTTAGTCAGAATCATCTTGGGTAAATGAGAGTATTACTTTGTAAAATTCGGATTCCTGCCCCATCCCCAGGGGCTAGGGCGGGGCCCCAAAGGGAACATTTACCAATATTTTCAAATTCTTATTCATTGATGACAAGTATTGTATTTCACTTAGTTTACATGCAGATTTCCACATCACATCTTAACAATAAAATAAAGCTACCAGTACCTATGATATAACTCAGGTGACCGCTAAGGCCCTTGGGCCTCTTGTTTGTGTTCTCCTTTGATTTTCGTCATTGTTTGCACCGTACAGTTTATTCTGTGGGGTGACAAATCTTGTTGGCACAGATTTCAATCTGTTCGTCATCTCGCAGACTAGACAGTCTTCGTCCCTTCTGTCTATACATACAATGCTGTATTGCAGGGTCCCCTGGGATATGAAGGGATATTCAGACGAGCCTGTGAAGTAACCTTGAGAGTGATGAGAACCCAGATGGATCCACTGATGAGGTAAGCAACTCTGTCCTCAAGGAAATTACTCCCCCATCAATGCTACCGGGGCAGACTGTATAGGAGACTGTCTGTCCTCAAGGAAATTACTCACCCATCAATGCTACCGGGGGAGACTGTATAGGAGACTGTCTGTCCTCAAGGTAATTACTCGCCCATCAATGCTACCGGGGAGACTGTATAGGAGACTGTCTGTCCTCAAGGTAATTACTCGCCCATCAATGCTACCGGGGGAGACTGTATAGGAGACTGTCTGTCCTCAAGGTAATTACTCCCCCATCAATGCTACCGGGGGAGACTGTATAGGAGACTGTCTGTCCTCAAGGTAATTACTCCCCCATCAATGCTACCGGGGGAGACTGTATAGGAGACTGTCTGTCCTCAAGGTAATTACTCCCCCATCAATGCTACCGGGGGAGACTGTATAGGAGACTGTCTGTCCTCAAGGTAATTACTCCCCCATCAATGCTACCGGGGGAGACTGTATAGGAGACTGTCTGTCCTCAAGGTAATTACTCCCCCATCAATGCTACCGGGGGAGACTGTATAGGAGACTGTCTGTCCTCAAGGTAATTACTCCCCCATCAATGCTACCGGGGGAGACTGTATAGGAGACTGTCTGTCCTCAAGGTAATTACTCCCCCATCAATGCTACCGGGGGAGACTGTATAGGAGACTGTCTGTCCTCAAGGTAATTACTCCCCCATCAATGCTACCGGGGGAGACTGTATAGGAGACTGTCTGTCCTCAAGGTAATTACTCCCCCATCAATGCTACCGGGGGAGACTGTATAGGAGACTGTCTGTCCTCAAGGTAATTACTCCCCCATCAATGCTACCGGGGGAGACTGTATAGGAGACTGTCTGTCCTCAAGGTAATTACTCCCCCATCAATGCTACCGGGGGAGACTGTATAGGAGACTGTCTGTCCTCAAGGTAATTACTCCCCCATCAATGCTACCGGGGGAGACTGTATAGGAGACTGTCTGTCCTCAAGGTAATTACTCCCCCATCAATGCTACCGGGGGAGACTGTATAGGAGACTGTCTGTCCTCAAGGTAATTACTCCCCCATCAATGCTACCGGGGGAGACTGTATAGGAGACTGTCTGTCCTCAAGGTAATTACTCCCCCATCAATGCTACCGGGGGAGACTGTATAGGAGACTGTCTGTCCTCAAGGTAATTACTCCCCCATCAATGCTACCGGGGGAGACTGTATAGGAGACTGTCTGTCCTCAAGGTAATTACTCCCCCATCAATGCTACCGGGGGAGACTGTATAGGAGACTGTCTGTCCTCAAGGTAATTACTCCCCCATCAATGCTACCGGGGGAGACTGTATAGGAGACTGTCTGTCCTCAAGGTAATTACTCCCCCATCAATGCTACCGGGGGAGACTGTATAGGAGACTGTCTGTCCTCAAGGTAATTACTCCCCCATCAATGCTACCGGGGGAGACTGTATAGGAGACTGTCTGTCCTCAAGGTAATTACTCCCCCATCAATGCTACCGGGGGAGACTGTATAGGAGACTGTCTGTCCTCAAGGTAATTACTCGCCCATCAATGCTACCGGAGGAGACTGTATAGGAGACTGTCTGTCCTCAAGATAATTTCCCCCCCCAATCAATGCTAAACTTTCGCCCAGTCAAATTTTTGTCAGTAAAATCCATATTCACCCAGTTTTGTTTTCACCCTTCACATTTTTAGAATTACTATGTATGCTATGTTGTTAATTCATGTTCGTGGTAATGATAGATTGATTGCAATAACTTGTCTCATTAGACTCTCATCTGTGTGTTAGTTTTTTACTTGAGTGAGACTGCATGTCTGTGAACACAGGGCCATGATGTTTGTTTTCTCTCTGCTCAAGGATCATGATAATTACCAATCTGTGAACCTCTGGTTATAAAGTTGGGTACCTGTGAACCTACATGTTTGGTCATAATGTTTGATGTTTTCTATGAATCAAGGGTCTAAAAAGTGATCCGTTTATTTTGAACTTTGTGTTGTTAGGTTTGGTATCTGTGTGAACCTAGGATGACATTTTGTGGTATCTAAAGTAAACACATTTCCCCTGAACTTTTACAGTGTACTGAAGCCATTTGTGTACGACCCGTTGGTGGAATGGAGCAAGCCACCAAGAGGAGGGAGGTCCAACCCCATGGATACCGGTGAAATCAACAATGAACAGGTAACCTTGACAACAGTGAATCGGACACGTATCATATCCCAGGATGCATTTCTTTATTCTGCCAAGCCTGCTCAGTAAGTTGGGGGAAAACACAAACAGGTTACTTCCGTCCAAGAGCATACCTGCAAAATTACCTGCATTTGTAAAGAACAACCTTCAAGTGTCCTCCATGACCTGTGCATATTTCAATGAAAAGGGGGAATGTATCAAATGTGTCACTTTTAAACCTTGATATTTTTTTTTTCAGTTTTAGGTTTCAAGATTGCTACTATGGCCTCTGTTTATCTGAGGCATAAAATTATCTTCAATGGTCAANTTTTTTTTTTTTGGGGGGGGGGGGGGGGGGGGGGGGGTAGGTAATCAGTATGCCTGTGGCTAACAGTTCTAGTTTGTTACTGTATTCTATCTTCATCCCACAGGCACTGTCTCATGTACAGAACATAGAACATCGACTGAAGGGAATTCTGAAGTCCAAGACGTCTAGACCCATCACCGTACCATTGTCTATAGAAGGCCATGTAAACTACCTCATCAATGTAAGTACAGATCCCCCTACTGTACCCTGGTGGTACTGGTGTCCTGTCCTATAGGTTGTACTGACAGTATCAATATATAGTGTAAATAATAATATGTAGAGTCAAACCTGTTTCTGAGACCACCCTAAAGAAATCCAAAATGTGGTTCTTAATGCAGATTGTCTCTTGCATGGTTCAGTTCACAATGAAATCCCTACAATACGTGGTTTTCGAAATACTTTTTCTCTCTGGATCCACCACATTTAAATACACATGTCATGTGATGGGGGGTGGGGAGGGGGATGGACACCTGTTCTTTCAGTCTACAATGAAAGTCTGAGAGTTGCATGAAAATAACATGCAAAATAACAAACTGGTATGGGGTTTCAGAGTCGTTGTCTAACAACAGAGTATACGTACCAGTCAGTAGATATCCCTTTCTTGAAGGATGTGAAATTACAGCCATTTTCGTCCAAATTTACCAATGTTTTGCTTTAACGAAATTGGCTTGCTACAGATTTCCTTTTACACCAGAAGTATATATGCCCTCTTATTATACCACATTACACCAAATCACTTTACTTTTGTTCAGGAAACCTGTATCTCGTAAACAACATTTTCGGGAGCATAAACAGTGGCCTTTCAGGTCTTTAAATATAAATGGTCATATGAGCCGATGTGACTGTTCTTAAATATGTAGGTGTCCTACTGTTAGTGTCAGGAGTGCCTTCCTTTCAGGTGATCTTGTGTAATTTGTTCCATGTTGTCATTAAGAAATAGATAAAAAATTGTTCTATGATTGACATAAAGTTAGTATAAGCCTTGATTTTGATTCTTGTCTCAAACATTTCTTTGTAGGAGGCAACAGATGACAAAAACCTGTGTCAGATGTATGTTGGTTGGGCCCCTTATATGTGATGCCTCTGTCTGAATCCGGTTGGCTCCCGTGAGAATCAATAGAACTTTTGTGAGAAAATCTAGGACATCAATCAGTAAGCACCTGTGAGAAATTGTAGGATCTGCGTCACTCAGGACCTGTGTGAGAAACTCGAGGACCTAAATCAGTAAGCATTTGTGAGAAACCTAAAGGACCTTCAACAGTCAATACGTTTGAGAGAAAGTTCAGGATCTAAATAAGTAAGAAACTGCAGAAGGGGGGGTGGGGGTACAAAACGTCCTAGATAAGTGATGTATCTTCTATTTCATCATCAATTATACTGTTAATACCCAAGAAGGTATACAGAGTTCACACTGGTGCGAGTAAAAATCCAAGGAAAAAGTGCAAACAACGCGGCAAATCTCTTCCAAACGTTGGAATTTGTTGGAGCAACATTCAAGAAATTCGTAAGAAACTTGGAGAAAGTCTTGGACCTGAATCAGTCAGCAACTGTGTCAGAAACTCAAGAAGCTTCCTCATTTATCACTGCTGTAAAAAGCAGAGGACACCGTTTAAAAAGAAAATGTGGAGGACTTGAAGAAGTCTGTACCTGAAGGAAGTGCATCTTTTCGCTAGTGTGAGAAACTTACACCTAATATCAGTCAGCTCTCGTGTGAGGAACTCTTGAACCTTCATCAGTTAGCAACCATGTGAGAACTGAACCAATAACAACTTAAATGAGCAATACATTGATATTCAAATGTTGATTCTCATTAGGGTTATATTTCTATGCAGTTATTGTTATTGATACAAAATTATAGTTTGTCATATTAAAGGTTGACTTGTTATTTACTACACAATGTTGTTAAGTTGTATGTTATACTAAAAATGTGCAATCGTTTAGTTAGAATATTTGGTTTTCACAATATTTGGAGGTTTTGCTAGGAAAAACTAAGGTCAATACTTTCAAATTTGACCCTCTGTCAACAAGTGCGGTTTCCAATTCGACTCCCAATATGGTAAACAAACAGGACTCATTTGTTCAAAAGGTGATTAGCTTAATCAGTATTTAACGACATTATTCAACCTTAAATTATTTCGCCAATATACAATGTAAAATCTCACAATTTTGCATGTAATTTTACGCTACTAACTATTTGCTATCTGGAAAGTTGTAACTAATTTAATGGTTGTGTTTTAAAGATGCACATAAAATAATATTTGCCCTAATCACTGATTAAGGTAATCACTATTGGAACAACTGGGCGCAGGTTTAAAATCATCCAGTTCACACTCAGTTTCGAATGGCACCAGGTCTGGACTTTTAAGCAATTATTGCTGCTGATTGAATTGAGGGACAGGGCTCAGTAGGGGAAGTTACTATGTATGGTTTGGACGTGTTTTGGCCCCAAATGCATCAAAATTCAAAACCTTTAACCTAAATGAACATTGAAATGACTTGTTTCTATAATTCTCAAATACTATTATGAAAATATTTATTTATATATTTAATTATTGTTGCCATGGTGAAATATAAAGTTTGTTCAAGAGTGTGCTTTATGGTAGCTAAGAGAAAAACTAGGTGAACACCTGTCAAAATTGACTGAATAATCAAGTTTCAATAATTTTGCAAATATGACCTGGTTAACATGGCAGCCAAAATTGAGTACACAAATAAATGTTTACATAATAATAGTACTGGGGAAGTATTCAAAATTAAAGAAACATTCGTTTGAAAGTTCTATTGCAGATTTTTGATTTTGATGGATTTGGGGGCCAAAAAGGGCCCAAACCATACATAGTCCTTTAAAAAATCCTACTCCTTGAGTAATGAATAAAGGGACATTAACTGAAATTGGTCCGGAGCATCCTTGGGACAATGGAAGTCAACATTGTGAAAATTAAGGATATGTCCCCCCACCCCCACCCCCACACCCCACACCCCACACCCCCACACCCCATGGGGGCAGAAGGGTGGAGCCCAATAGGGGATAAAAAGTGAAATCTTAAAAATCCTACTCCCTCAGCACAGGTAAATAGATTTTAACCTAAACAGTTCTTGATCAACATTTAACCAAGGGGACCCAAAATTGTATAAAGGAAAGTGTAGTCCCTCATTGGGCAGAGGGACAGGGTCCAATAGGATCAACAATTTTTTAAATCCACTACTAGAGTATGAGTTAAAGGTTTTTAAGCCGATTTGGTCAGACGGTTCCTTTGTTCAAGGGGATTCATTGAAAAAATTTGTGTATGAATGGTGAATAAACGGAGGATGTAGCCCTCTTAGTAACAGGGGTGTCCCAAATGGGGTCATATACCAGGATAAATCTTTTAAGCAGAGCCCAAAAGAGGTAAATAGTGGTAAATCTTCAAAAATCCTTATCCTTGAGTATGGGGTTTTGAGATTTTGACCTTGTTTGGTTTGGAGCATCCTTTTCCCAATGTGTACTCGGTGTTGTAAGTGGAGAATGTGACCTTCCAGGTACAGAGTGGACATACAGGTATATACATGTAACTCTATAAAATCTGACTGCTTGAGTATGGGTATAAGTACTTTGATTTGATTTGGTTCCTAGCATCCTGGCCATGGATACCATGGTTTTGAAAACAGATGGATAAGATGGTGTAGTCCTTAGGTCCTTTGTACCCCTTGTTAGGAGTTCGTTGAAGGGGAACAAAGGAATTATGACATGACCTTTGGTAAATTATCATAGGAAAATAAATATCTAAATTACAGTGGGAAAGTTGCGAGATCTATCATGAATCCTGAACAATTTTGGAATAACTTTGCCTTATGTACATTGTTAAGTGTATTGTAACATTCTCAACTGTTAATAACATCTGGCTTGAAAAGCACAACAACTTTATCAAATATCTTCTTGAACAAATATCTGTCTATTCCACAGGCAAAAATCAAAGCTGTGAGCTATTAAGCCCCATGGACCTCTTGCTTATCTGGTATTGTTGCATTTTTCCTTGATTTCCAGATTTTGTGTAACTAGTACTTAACTGATCTTTCTGTTCACTTCCTCCTTCACTTCTCCATTTTGAATCACTACACTTCTAAGATAAAATGTCTTTACTACCTCCAACTCTTATCTATTTACACTGATATGGTTGCTGCTACAATTGTTCCTTTTCATCTAGAAAAAGACATTTTTATGTACTGTTAAATGTACATAGAAAAAGAGACAAATTTGATTGTCAATTTAAACTCATTCAACCCATAAATTTCATAATTAACTATTCCAACCTCTGAATTGGAAGAGTTCAAATGTGTCTTCAGGGGTGAATGAGTTAATTAATAATTACAAAAAACATTAAGAAATTAACTTTTACTTTAATCTTTCTTTACTAAAGCTAACAAGGCTTTACATAAATGAGTGCAAACTACTAACCATGAGTGACAGTGAACAATTTATGCATATTGACCTTTATCTAAAAAAAGATCACTCAGCTTGACATTATCATTTGCATAGGTAACACATAAATCACTTTCTCTGACATGACCTTTTACTTGTCTGCCGATGATCACATTGATACCAATGATCACATTGATACCGACACCTGTTAAAATACCAGCTTGGCTACAGATCAGTGAACGCTGAATTAATAATTCGGTTAATTACATGTAATTGATAGTGATTACCTTCCTTTTCACTCCGATTCATATTGCTTGAACTAAGCCCTATCCTTTGGACCACTAAACACATACTTGTCATTACATATACAGTAGTATGATCAATATTTGTTATGTGTCACAGTATTTTTCTAAAAAGCAAAAGTAGAAAAAATACAATCTTTATAAAAAAAAGTGTTTGTGTAAATGACACTGAATTAAAATATATCGTAAATGACACTGAATTAAAATATATCCATCCAGTCTTTTTTTGGAATCAGGTTTAAGAGTCCTGGACTCTTGTTTTTCCTGTGGGACTCGCCAACTTTTTGAGCTATCTCTTATTAGTAGTGGGACTAGTCAAAGTTTTGAAACAGATGTTCAGGTTGCGACCGAAATAATGTTCCAAAAATCATGGTCCATCTGGTTAGGAAATACCATACCAGCTACAGTAAAACTGTGATATGATGTTTTTATTAACATAAGTAAAACCACATTGTAGTGCCTCATGTTTATATACAGTGAAACCTCATTATAATGTCTAAACATTTATTAGAATAACTCTGAAGGGCCAAGTGAGCTTATGCCATGGTGCGGCATCCGTCCGGCGTCAATATTTTACTTTAAACAACATCTTAATAACCAAGAGGCCTAGGGTGATGATATGTGGCCAGAAGCAAACTGGAATGAAGGGCTACCAAGTTTGTTCAAATAAATGACCTTCACCTATATTCAAGGTCACAGGGTCAAATATGTTAAAAACATGAAACAACTTCATCTGAATAACCAAAGTGCCAAGGGTGATGATATCTAGCCAGTAACATGCTTAGATAAAGGGCTACCAAGTTTGTTCACATGAATGACTTTTCATGTCATTCATGTGAATGACTTTCCTTTTCAAGGTCACAGGGGTCAATTGTCTTAAAAAATCTTTAAACAACTTCTCCTGAATAACTAAGAGGCCTAGAATAATGATATTTGGCCAGTAGCATGCTAGGAATACAGTAGGTTTAAAACCTATAAACAACTTCTTCTGAATAACCAAAATGCCAAGGGTGATGATGTTTGGCCAGTAGCATGCTTTGATGAAGGGCTACCAAGTTTGTTAAAATGCATGACCTTGACAAATATTCAAGGTCACATTGGTCAAATATGTTTAAAACTTTTAAACAACTTCTCAATAACCGACAGTCCTAGAATGATGATATTTGGCTAGTAGCATGCTAGGATGAAGGGCTACCTAGTTTGTTAAAATGAATGACCTTGTCAAATATTCAAGGTCACAGAGGTTAAATATGTTTAAAACCTTTCAACAACTTCTTCTCAATAACCAAAAGGCCTAGGATAATGCTATTTTGCCAGTAGCATGATTAAATGAAGGGCTACCAAGTTTGTTCACATGATTGACCTTGACATATATTCAAGGTCACAGTGGTCAAATATGTTTAAAACCTTTAAACAGCTTCTTCTGAAATACCAAAAGGCCTAGGGTAATGATATTTGGCCAGTAACATGCTGGATGAAGGGCTTCTAAGTTTGTTCAAATGAATGACCTTGACAAATATTCAAGGTCATGGGGTCAAATATGTTTGAAACCTTTAAACAACTTCTTCTGAAATAACAAGAGGCCTAGGGTTATGATATTCTGCAAGTAGCATGCTGGGATGAAGGGCTACCAAGTTTGTTAAAATGAATGACCTTGACAAATAGTCAAGGTCACAATGGTCAAATACAGTAGGTTTAAAACCTATAAACAACTTCTTCTGAATAACCAGAATGCCGAGGGTGATGATGTTTGGCCAGTAGCATGCTTTGATGAAGGGCTACCAAGTTTGTTAAAATGCATGACCTTGACAAATATTCAAGGTCACATTGGTCAAATATGTTTAAAACCTTTAAACAACTTCTTAATAACCGACAGTCCTAGAATGATGATATTTGGCCAGTAGCATCCTAGGATGAAGGGCTACCAAGCTTGTTCAATTGAATGACATTGACAAATATTCAAGGTCACAGGGTTCAAATATGTTTAAAAACATGATACAAATTCTCCTGAATAACCAAGAGGCCTAGGATAATGATATTTAGCCAGTATCATGCTGGGTGGAAGAGCTACTAAGATTGTTCAATTAAATGACATTGACATATATTTAAGGTCACAGTGGTCAAATATGTTTAAAACCTTTAAACAACTTCTTCTGAAATACCAAAAGGTCTAGGATAATGATATTTGGCCAGTAGCATGCTGGGTTAAAGGTCTGCCAAGTTTGTTCAAGTGAATGACCTTGACCTATTCTAAGGTCATAGGGGTCATATATGTTTAAAAACTTTAAACAACTTCTTATTAACCAAGAGGCCTAGGATCATGATAGTTGGCCAGTAACATGCTGGGATGAAGGAATACCAAGTTTGTTCAAATGAATGACCTTGACATTTATTTAAGGTCACAGGGGTCAAATATGTTTAAAACCTTTCAGCGACTTCTCAATAAGCAAAAAGCCAAGGGTGGTGATATTTGGCCATTAACATGCTGGGATAAAGGGCTACCAAGTTTGTTCAAATGAATGACCTTCGCCCATTGTCAAGGTCACAGTAGTCAATATATGTTTAAATCTTTAAATGATTTGTTCTGTATAACCAAAAGGTCCAGGGTAATGATATTTTGCCAGAAGCATGCTGGGTTTGATGACTATAAACTCTGTTCAACCTAATGTCCTTGTTCGACATTCAAGGTCACAGGCATCATATGTTTAAATCTTTTAATATGTTCTTATGAATCAAACACTGATATTCTGCCTGTAGCTGTATTTTAGTCCACTTTTAAGATAACAAGTGTAAGATTAATACCAGGTGAGCGATTCAGGCCCATTGTTAGCATCACTCTGATTTCATACCTCGTGTTTATATACATTAGAACCTCGTTATAATGACCAACCATTTATTAGTAAAATTCGGATATCATGCCTCATGTTTATATACAGTAAAACCTCGTTATAATGTCCAACCATCCATTAGTAAAACTTGGATATCATACCTCGTGTTTATACACAGTAAAACCTTGAAATAATGACTAAACATTAGTAAGTAAAACCTCGATATAATGGCCCTGTGATTTGTATACGATTGCCACATCATTTACTGACAACTAATTGCAATGTTTCCTGTTCATGTTAGCATTTTGCTGAACAAAGTATGGCAGTATAACAAGGTTTTATTATAACCCACCCAACACATGCATACTGGGGTGGGGGTACATAGAAATTGCTTTGTCTGTGTGTCCTTAGTAAAAACCTTGTGTACAAGATATCTAATGAACCCATGAACGCATTAAGTTCATACTTACTCCATAGTATGGTTATATCAAGTTCTACACCTGATTACAAGACTTTTGGAGGCCATCTTTCAAGGTGAAAGGATCAAAGGTCATGGGCAAATATAACATTTAACGACGTTTGAAGTACAAAGCTTCTGCACAAAGTATCACACGAACCTTGCAACAAATGTAGTTTTATAACTACACTATAGCATGGTAACATCCAGTTCTACACCTGATCAGAGTTTGGTGGTCACCATTGATGGTCTCATGGCATGGGCAAATATCACACTTGATCACTTTTGAAGTAAAAAGCTTGTGTACTCAAACGAGTCCACTGATTAAACACTATGTCTTGTACATACTTACCTTATAGCAGGTTAGGGGGGGGGGGGGGGGGTTCTAGGTGAGCCTCCCCTCACTTTAATAGGATTTATATGATATTAGTGGACGCAGGTATTGCTGCCTCTATTCCCACGTCAATATAATTTGAAAGACAATGTGGTAAACATAAAATAAGCCTCTATATAAGACGCTGTATGATCGTACTTCAACTCAAGATCTTTCCACAATTCGTCCAATTTTTTCTCAAAGTCAATTACGTTACGAGATGAAATAACATCTTGTGGGATACTATTCCAGATGTCAATTATTCTTTGAGTAAAGTAATGTTTGCTAATATATAAATGACAATGTAGTTGGAGTATTATTTTTCTGTGTCCTCTGAATTTTCCTTGAGCGGCGAGATTGAACCTAGTCCATTCATATACTTGAACACGTTGATCATGTTTCTGCGCAAGCGCCAGCTGTACGTTAGAGTTGGAAACTTCAATCGGCGTAGTATCTCGCTTTAGCTAATAGTCTTCAATCCGGGGAGTAATTTTGTAAATCTTCTTTGAACGTTGCTTTGCTTTTATTGGAAACTGTTTATGACTTTATAAAATCTTAAATGACATATTCATAACGATATTGTTACCTTCCCTAAGGAGGAAAGCATTCAAATAAAACATTCTAAACACTCCGGAAAAGCAAATCTTTCCTGTCCGTAACTGCTTAAAATAGACCCAGTATTAGTTCAAGCAAAATCAAACTAACCTTTCATTGAAGTGTTTTATTTTATACTTTTATTGCCCTTGTTGCAGGGAAATATATTTGTTTGTGCCCGAGAATAAACAATAATACAAGCAGTAAAGCTTATCGGGTTGGAGCGCAATTGTTGTCGTCTGCCTCAGTCATTCCCATTTCTCCACAGATTTTCCGAATAAGGGAAATATGACTTGAGCGTGCAAACGGGACATTGTTTTGTTTCCCTGTCATGAGATGAATATGATCCAAGCAGCTGTTGTAAAGATGAAATAAACTTAGAAAAATACATACAGATAAAAAAAAAAACCGGTGTAATAATCATTTTGAGATATCTATAATGATAGACAAATTTACACCAATTGATAGGTCATTTTAAAAAAACGCGTGCTTGGTAAACTTTGCTGTCGTTGCACCGGAAAGTCAATAAATGCTGTTAGAATGTCTTGAAGGAGAGACACATACATCATTAATTCTTTCCCTGATACTTTCTTTATAGACAATCAGTTACACAATCAGTATCTTATACTGTATTCCTTTTTTGATTTTCTTTTTAATCAAACAGATTCAAACATATTTTAACCAAACATAATAGGGACCAGGTTCCGTTCGGATTAGAAAGATGTTCAATTTGATAACACAGATTTTCAAACGCATAATGTATACTTAAATCCAGCTAATGTGGGCATTGTACATGTGTGAATCACGAAGGTGATGTAAGGGGGTGGTTTAGGTACACATACCGGTCTTGCTCAGAAAACGGTCACTGAGTGCAATATGAAGCGGAATACAAATAGGCAACCGATTTACCTTATGGCATAATTTCATTCATGAATAAAAATACAATGATATGATGTAGAAGATCTCTTCATAGATTATTCATGATTATTAATTATATCAATTATACCAATCCCACCCTTCAACTGATCTGAATACATCAGCATACTTAATGCACGTCATAAAACATTACTACATATCGACAGATGCCTGACCAATTTCTACTAATCACTGGTATTTAGTAATAAGTAAATGCTGTATTTCAAAGATATATATTCACCGAAGCATGACGTCTTGCTCGCCTGACTGGAGTCAGCACCAGTACCTAAGTATAAATAGGTCTACCCTCCACTCCCTCCTCACTTACAGACCGAAGAGGGAAAACCACGTTGACCCGTTACAAAGTAAGTATTATTTTCATTTTGACGATTTTCCTTCAGTAGCTGTCGAATATCCTAACTAAACGAGAGTACTTCACTAGGGAAAAATATTTTTTGTGTAGAATTGTGTCAATATATAACTGTATCAACTATGTAATAATCAAACAAGTAACATTATAAACCTTGTCAGTACTCAGAAACACAATGTATAGATATTTAATAAATTATATATATATATATATATTTATAAATTATGTCAATATTGAAGACATATTTCTGTAACTAGCACCAAATATATAGAAAAGAAAACATGTACAATATCTGGCAATTAACTACAAACTTTATCAACTCCGTCTGTTAAGATATACAAACTTTATCAACTCCGTCTGTTAAGATATGCAAACTTTATCAACTCCGTCTTTTAAGATATACAAACTTTATCAATTCCGTCTGTTAAGATATACAAACTTTATCAACTCCGTCTGTTAGGATATACAAAGTTTATCATCTCCGTCGTTAAGAAGCTACAAACTTCATCAACTCCGTCGTTATAGAGCTACAAACTGTATCAACCTGTCGTTATAGAGCTACAAACTTTATCAACTCCGTCTGTTAAGATATACCACCTTTATCAACTCCGTCTGTTAAGATATACAAACTTTATCAACTCCGTCTGTTAATATATGCAAACTTTATCAACTCCGTCTTTTAAGATATACAAACTTTATCAATTCCGTCTGTAAAGATATACAAACTTTATCAACCTCTCGTTATAGAGCTACACACTTTATCAATTCCGTCGTTATAGAGCTCCAAACTTTATCAACCTGTCGTTATAGAGCTACAAACTTTATCAATCTGTCATTATTAAGCTACAAACTTTATCAACTCCGTCGTTATAGAGCTGCAAACTTTATCAACTCCGTCGTTAAGAAGCTATACACTTTATCAATTCCGTATTCACAAAGCTACAAACTTTATCAACTCCGTCATTATAGAGCTATAAACTTTATCAATCTGTCGTTATAGAGCTACAAACTTTATCAACTTCGTCGTTGAGAAGCTACACACTTTATCAACTCCGTCGTTATAGAGATACAAACTTTATCAACTCCGTCGTTATAGAGCTGCAAACTTTATCAACATGCCGTTATAGAGCTACAAACTTTATCGATTCCGTCGTGATAGAGCTACATACTTTATCAACTCCGTCGTTATAGAGCTACAAACTTTATCAACCTGTCGTTATAGAGCTACAAACTTTATCAATTCCGTCTGTAAAGATATACAAACTTTATCAACCTCTCGTTATAGAGCTACACACTTTATCAATTCCGTCGTTATAGAGCTACAAACTTTATCAACCTGTCGTTATAGAGCTACAGACTTTATCAACTCCGTCGTTATAGAGCTACAAACTTTATCAACTCCGTCGTTAAAGAGCTACAAACTTTATCAACCTGTCGTTATAGAGCTGCAAACTTATCAACTCGGTCATTTTAGAGCTACAAACTTTATCAACTCCGTCGTTATAGAGCTATAAACTTTATCAACCTGTCGTTATAAAGCTACAAACTTTATCAATTCCGTCTGTTAAGATATACAAACTTTATCAACCTCTCGTTATAGAGCTACACACTTTATCAATTCCGTCGTTATAGAGCTACACACTTTATCAACCTGTCGTTATAGAGCTACAGACTTTATCAACTCCGTCGTTATAGAGCTACAAACTTTATCAACCTGTCGTTATAGAGCTACAAACTTTATCAACTCAGTCATTGTAGAGCTACAAACTTTATCAACCTGTCGTTATAGAGCTACAGTCTTTATCTATCTGTCGTTATAGAGCTACAAACTTTATCAACCTCTCGTTATAGAGCTACACACTTTATCAATTCCGTCGTTATAGAGCTACAAACTTTATCAACCTGTCGTTATAGAGCTACAGTCGTTATCTATCTGTCGTTATAGAGCTACAAACTTTATCAACCTGTCGTTATAGATCTACAAACTTTATCAACTCCGTCATTATAGAGCTACAAACTTTATCAACCTGTCGTTGAGCTACAGACTTTATCAATCTGTCGTTATAGAGCTACAAACTTTATCAACCTCTCGTTATAGAGCTACACACTTTATCAATTCCGTCGTTATAGAGCTACAAACATTATCAACCTGTCGTTATAGAGCTACAAACTTTATCAACTCCGTCGTTATAGAGCTACAAACTTTATCAACCTGTCGTTATAGAGCTACAAACTTTATCAACCTGTCGTTATAGAGCTACAAACTTTATCAACTCCGTCGTTATAGAGCTACAAACTTTATCAACCTGTCGTTATAGAGCTACAAACTTTATCAACTCCGTCATTATAGAGCTACAAACTTTATCAACTTCTCGTTATAGAGCTACACACTTTATCAATTCCGTCGTTATAGAGCTACAAACTTTATCAATTCCGTCGTTAAAAAGCTACAAACTTTATCAACTCCGTAGTTATAAAGCTTCAAACTTTATCAACTCCGTCATTTTAGAGCTACAAACTTTATCAACTCCGTCATTATAGAGCTACAAACTTTATCAACTCTGTCGTTATAGAGCTACAAACTTTATCAACTCCGTCTGTTAAGATATACAAACTTTATCAACTCCGTCGTTATAGAGCTACAAACTTTATCAACTCCGTCGTTATAGAGCTACAAGCTTGATTAAGTTTATCAAACTTTATCTGTCTGCACTAGTTGTATACTCCGTTACATGAGCTGACAACTCTATCCCGATCTAAATACATGTTCATAACTCCTTATAATGTCCGTTAAAATCTTATTTCTCAGAGACAGAAAAGCTACTTTATAAATAAAATGATTTGGTGCAGTAAACGTTTCCTTTGTTTGGCTCTCTACATCAATGTCAAACACAAAACATAAATAGGTACCCTCTTACTTCGTATTTCTATTGATGAATTTAAATACCCTTAATTTAAAGAAAAATGGTAACAACTTCTTTTTCCATACTACAGCTTTCTAAACGATTATTGACACCATGAATTGTGTTGTGGCACTGATGTTCGTGATGCTGGCCTGTGCGGTCGCGCAGAATCCGGACAAGTTCATGCAGCGGATGGTTGCCAAGATGAGGAGAGAAATGGGCGAGACAGCTGTAGGAGAGTCCGCGGCTATAGTAGATCGCTATAGTAAGAGAGGAGTCAGTGCCGGTGATGCGGCTAAATACGTAGAGGCCCATAACGAAGCCAGACATAGAGCTAGGCCAACACCAAAGGACGAACCCGATATGGTTGGTCCGAGTCACTATTCCATTGTGTTTTCCCTCTTTGTTGGAATAATTTAGTTTAGTTTTATTCTTGATTTATTCTATCTGTTGGTTGTTTACGAGTAAAAGGAAAATACCACAAATTGTTTGTCTGATAAATTCACCTATTAACAAGTAATGTATCAGTGTCTTCAGCTAAAGTGATCCCCATTAAACTGTCCGCGTGTCATCAAGTTTTATCTCTTCTTTCTCGGCAAAGATCTAGATCTTTTGTATATTGCTTTGACTTCTATTTTAATTTTAATGGTGTTTCATAAATGTTATTATACCCCGCAATCAATTTCAACGAAACTTTCCAGATATGATAACTACCACATGAAGTTGTGCATCCAGGTATTATATATTCATTCTAGCCCTTTTCTTTTACAAAGTTATGTCCCTTTGTTGAAAAATGCTTGCTCGGAGAACTTCTTCAAAACTGCTGGACCAATTTCAATGAAAGTTTTCAGATATGATAACTACCACCTGATGTTGTGCATCCAGGTATTATTTGTTCAATCTGACCATTTTTCTACGGAGTATCAGCCCTTTGTTGAAAAATATTTGTCCAGACAACTCTTTCAAAATTATGGGGCCAATTTCAAGGGAAGTTTTCAGATATGATAACTACCCCCTCATGATGTTCATCCAGGTATTTTCTTTCCAACCCTTTGTTATGGAGTTATGGCTCTTTGTTGATATATCCTTGTCCTGACAACTTCTTCTAATCTACTCGGCCAATTTCAATGTTTACAGATATGGTAACTGCCCCCTGATGTTGTGAATCCAAGTAGTACTTTTTCATTCCGACCCTTTTAAAAGGAGTTATGACCATTTGTGGAAAAAAAACCTTCGTCTGTCTCCTAAACTACTGGTCCAATTTCAATGAAAGTTTACAGATATGGTAATAACCCCAGATGTCGTGCATCAGGGTAGTATTTTTTTTTCATTTCGACCTTTTTTAAGGAGTTAGGACCCTTTGTTAAAAATCTTTGTCCTGACAACTATTCTTTAACTACTAGGACGATTTCAGCAAAACTGGTTCATCTGGGCTAACAAGATTTGGTTTGCAAGTATGTTTTGCAACTGGGAGGAGTACAGAAAGTATGTCAGTAACCTATATACTGAAATAAGTGTACAGCACAGTGAATTAAGAAATCGTTACTGGTGGGAAAACTATGGCTTGCTTTGCAATGCTTTACTTTAGTTATAGCCTTTAGCTTACAGTTCTTTTTTTTTTTGTTTATTCCCAACTCTTACGGCAATACATCCTATGTTTTTCTTTTTGCAATATTGTGATGAAAAATAAAACCTTGTCAATTGTGTTCCTATTTGTCGAGAAATATATTATCACTTTGATTTTAACATTTGTGTTTTGTTGACGAAAATTTATGTTTTGTTGTTCTTTTTTTGTGTTAAGACGACAAAAGGTTTTAATTTGTTTCCTAGTTGTACTGTTGAAAAAGATTGCATATTATATTGTACTGTAAACATTCTTACATAAGTGTTCATATATTTCCGCAGTTTTAAATGACGCGGATTATAATTTAATGCTTTATTTTTATACATTATTCAGGAACACAGAGAGCGCCAATATATGTTTAACGCTAAATCAATTTCGCTTGCATTATGTATTCTTTGTTGACGAAAATAAATATTTTACTAATGTACTTAATTACGAGAACGTGATCTTTGGTTGCTGATCTTTTGACCAGTAATCATATTTTGCTTACGACTTTATTGACGAGAAAATATATCTTGCTTGCAACGTTATTATCGAGAGAATGCATTTTGCTTGCTACTTAGTCTACGATAATTATATTGATAAATGCGCTATGTTGACTGAATTATTCTATTTTATTGATTTTGTGGGCTTTGTCAACAGGATATTACAGTTTACTCATCATAGAGCAAAACAATATTCTACTCAATATGTCCTCAGGTTCTATTGCTTAAAACAAGATCCCTATATTTTGTTACTGTTATATATCTTAAACAGGCCTGGGATGCGTCGCTTGCCACTCTAGCTCAGTCTTACGCCGACCGATGCATTTGGGGTCATAACGCCCAGCGTTCTAATGGCCAGAACTATCCGTATGTCGGGGAGAACCTTTTTGTGACCACAGCCCAAGGTAAAAAAAACCTGTTAACTCTTGATTTTAAACTTTACCATTTTTCATTGCCCGGAACAATAGATTTGGAGCATAGCTACATTTACAATTTCTTCTTATGAAATAATGCAGAGCCGCTAAGTGCACAATACACTTCGAACAATTATTAAGAAATTTGAATTTCAATGGATACTTTATAGTTCTCTAATTAAAAAAATATTTATTTATTTTCTATTTTGCGAGATGTTTTCCCCCCGTTATTTGTGTATTATTGTACGAATGAAAGCATTTGCAAATAGTTATGGATTCCCGCGTAAAATGTATACTAGAATACAGATTCTTCCATTTGTTTTTTCTTTTCAATAAGCTTCATTTTATAAATAAAATAAACAAATGTATCTATAATACCATTTTCTACAAAAGGCATGGCGTAATCTAAAATACGCTTTTTTGTACCTCCTTACTATTTAAACAGTATAGTTTAGATCATTTTGATTTACACGTTTTTGGCCCCTATCATTACCAATACGTCCAAGAAGGGCGAAACAGCTCTTTGGTACAGATGGTGCAGTGCCATTCATACTGGTATACTATATCTATTGCCAAATTGTATAGGTATGATCAAATGTGAGTTTGACCTGTCCTTATTGCTAGAGACTTAAGTGGCGCTGTAATGTCCCTTATTAGATGGAGTGGAGCCCTCAGCAGCAGTAGAGGCTTGGGAAAGCGAGGTCAAGGATTACCACTTCGACACCATGAAATGTAATGCAGGAAAGATGTGCGGTCATTATACACAGGTAATACCTACTGTTACAGGTGAATGTTTTTTTACTTACACTCGGCAGGTACATGTAATACCTCATTTTATAGATAAATGCTGAAGAATGAACAATTTACTTAATCTCAGCAGGGACAGGAACTTTGGTTTTCTCTTTTACATTGAAACGCTTTTTTGCATTGAAACGAAAAAAGAAACGCAGCTTCAATTTTAAGGGTTGATTAAATAATATGTCTAACTTTCAGGTATAGTATTTTTACTTTAATTATTGATCTAACCACCTACAATATTTAGAGATTTGTAACGAAAGGGGACTTCGTTAGATGAAATAAACTTCCCTAAGTTACTCAAAGTTTAAACGACTTGTAACCCGTTCCCTAACATCGTGTGCCCTTGACATCGACAAGTGCATTGGCTTAATTGGGGAAGCTTTTTGATGGGTAACTGCGATCCGAACTCTTATTTCTATTTCATCCCACAAGTGTTTGATTGGGGCTATAGTCAATGGTGACGATGTTGTGCGGTTCAAGAAGGTAAAAACCATAACCGATCGACCCCAAAATCATGGACCATGGACGACAATTTTCCTTTATACCGTATATGTATAAATTGTCGATTTTGTATTTAATTTGTTATTACAAAAGGTTGACATACAATGAAGCCTTACTGTTTGCTTACTAGGTTGTGTGGCATGATTCTACCCACGTTGGATGTGGTGTTAAGGTCTGTCCTACCCTCCAAAATAGTTCCTTTAAAAAGGCAACACTGATTGTCTGCAACTACGGACCAGGGTGAGATGCGTATTTATTTATTCATTTATTTGTTATTGTTTGTTCATTTGTAAGATTTGTTGCATTAAGAACCCTTTTATCTCTGTCTAATGATTAAAGCATACGTGCTTATTATCGCTGCCTCATGTATTTAACCAATCCCAAAGTATCTTTAATACAATCTTTCATGGGCGTTTTAGTGAAGAACCCTTCTGCACCGGAAATACATATCGTGATCACGTGACTGTACGCGAATCGTCATGTGGCCGTGTGAATCTGAATGTTGCCATTAGTTATCCCTTAAAATAAAAAATAAATCGATTTATATTCTTATTCCTTTAAAGGTTTTCAAAATATCTCATAATAGTTATTACAAAGTCATAATTTTTTGCGGTCAGGAATCTACGCTTGCAATTTCGCCACATGTGCATATTTCATCGTGTGTCAGTATGTTTGCGCATTCGTATGGTCGCGTTGGTTTGAACCGAATGATTCTTATGTTTATAACTTGACATTTTTGCGAACATCAAGTTTATCTTATTTGATATTGCTTTATATTTTAGGGGCAATTTCCAAGGAGAACATCCGTACGAAGTTTAGATAAAGGTGAGAGTTTCAGTAAAGCGGTTAAAAACAAATGAAGCGTTGAACATTTACTATTCAGTGTTTATTGTTCACGTATGACTAACAATTATTTACAACATTAAGATAAATCCATGATTATCTTTTGAAGATTTTAAATCGAGAAAGACAAAACGATATAATACTGAAAATGCATACATTTATTCATTATTTTAATGTTTCTAACGAATTGTTCACTATAACTTTGATTATGCAAGAGTATTTTCTTGTCTTGTGACGGGAAAACAAAAATATATCTAAGATATTAAGGATTTACAGTTTCTTACTTATTCAATCGAATGATAACACAAAACTACCAGTTTTATGTGGCTTTTAGAGTCAGTAATGCAAAAAATACATTCACAGTTTATTTGAAACTGTGTTTTAACTTTGTAAATAATAATTTTAACGTAAATATTTTTTATTGTACATTTCTTAGTTATTATAACTAACAAATTGTTTTTTTTTTCAGTTTGCGAAATCTCGAGATGACCTACTTTTGGATACAGATGCATTCTATCTGTAAATAATGTATTTTATCGTGGGCAATGTATATTGATTGATTATTAAATATTTCAACGTTTTCATTTTTCTGTGTTCTATCCATAACCCTTGAAAAACAATACGGCCACATCTTTTGCGATTTACAAATGAGCACTACCAATTGATATCGTACGCTTTCATGATGTTTCTAAAAAGAGACAACATTGGCATAGAAAGGGTTCTATAGAAGGAGACTCGGGTAAACTGCTTCGGGAAAAAATAATAAAGAAGAGGAGTGGTCTACCAGCCTACCGTTATTTATCTTCAACAAACTCTTCATGGTTGTAAACATATAAACATTAAACATTTACTGTACACTTTGAAGTTTTCGCTGCAATTTAACTTTCGCCTTTTCACCCTTCGTAGAGAGTGCGAATTAGTCATTACAACTATTATTTCTAAACAAAATAATATATATAGTAATTAAATGTGAAGAGCGAAATTAACACTGCATAAATATGGATTTTATCAGCAAAGGGTGAAAGTTTGAATTGGCGAAAATTTCCCGGCATTCAGTTATCTGCCTAGCAACTCAATAAAACCACAAGAATACCAAAGTGACAAGCAGATCGTAATTCGAAATCAAAAACGATAAAACTAGAGCAAAATTTCAACAAAGGAGATGTTTACGCTGTAAAAGTACAAGGAGAGAAAGACCACGCGTTCCAGAAGGGTAAGCGTCTTCTGGTTCTTCGACGACACCCGCCAATTGTCCTCATACCGAGATCTGGAGTGGAAACAAGGAACATTAAAGAACACGAGGAAATACAGTAGCTTATTTCCCTGTGAGATAATAATGAAGACAATAAACTCGTCCATATTCTTCATCAACCTGCATCTTTGAAAACCTTTTGTTGTAAGTTTGTCCGTCAGCAGCCGACATCTATCACAAAGGTCATGATTTTCGGAACACGTTCTTGAATACATATTCTTAATTGCTTCAAACAGACAATAGTTGTTATATCATAAAGTGTAGTGGAAATATGACGGATGCTGCATGTAGATTGAGAACTGATAAGAATACCACTACGCCAAATAGCATCGTCTAGCATTCAGCTTGTTCTTGGTACAGTAAATTTCCATCCATGAAATCATTTTACCTTAAACATTTTAAATTTTGAAAAATCCTTCATTTGTATGCAAACAGAAGTACGTTAGTCGTTACCGCGTTCTCGTACTTCTGTGTTTACTTTGACATTGGGAAATACTTGCTTACTAATATACGAAACACACTGTTATTAGAAAGAAATGACCTTTGACCTTTTAGCTTTGACCTTTGACCTTTAGTTGAGGTTTATAAAAGACAAGCAATATAAAGCGGTGATTCACATTAGTACTTATGAAAGCAGTTATAATTTAACGCTGACAAAAAACTTTTCCCAAAGGCTGCCAAGAATAAATGATGAAATTTAAATTGACACTATATGCCTGTCACACCAGTGAGCAACCGTACGTTTCAATGTGCTGTACTTTTACTCGCGTACGTCATCACCAGCAGGACATGTCCGGTACAAGTGCTCTGGGAAAAGCCTCCCCTGATTTCTAATTAGACTCACACGATACTGTTAGGTGCAAACCACTTGACTGATATTTTAAATGACGTAAACACAAGTTCAACAAGTTGTGATTGCTAACAGGGAACCGTCACGCTAGTTACCCCGATTGCCACTGGAGGCGCGGTAGTCTAGTGGTAGGACGCCGGGCTCGTGACCGAAGGGTTGCGGGTTCGAGTCACGGCACGGCACTGTGTTGTATCTTTGAGCAAGATACATGTACTTTACTCCGCTTGTTCCAGTTTACTCAGCTGTAAATGAGTACGTAGTCGGGCAGTGCTTTACTCCGCTTGTTCCAGTCTACTCAGCTGTAAATGAGTACGTGGTCGGGCAGTGCTAGAATTGTTGAATGCTAGCTGTTAGCGCCGAAATGGCAGCTCCGGCTGTATGCTCCACATGGAGTTGAGAAAGGTATTGGCAGGTTGCAAAGGCCAATAATTTGTGAACCGCTTTGAGACGACCTACGAACTAGGTTGTGATAAAGCGGTATGTAAGAACCTCGAATTATTATCATTATTATAATTATAAGTAGCAAATAATGCATTGAACAGAATTTGCAATACCATAATTCACTTACATACTAAGTTTGAGGGGGAAAANGGGGGCGGGGGGCGATGGCATCGCCTAGGCGTAAACAGATACATTTGTCAATCCGTTATTGGCCACAGCAACCATGAGTGATGACCCATCAGAAAGTGAACGGCGTCAACACATCTACAGATGCCTACCAATGGATCATGTGATATTTCATAAGTATCCGGCCAGTAGTTTCTGGAAAACACTCCTCAAACCATTTGGCGGAAGAAAATAATAAAATGAAACGAAAGAAATCTCCAATTGTGTTCGCAGTACCATTATACATCAACACACCAAATTTGAGTAAAATCGGACAGTATATAAAATTCAATTAATCAGAGGCCAGTTTACATCGGCCATTTTGTCCAATCACATTATATATTTAAAAGGGTATCCTGATTCGATACGAAATATCTTTATGAATACAAGGCCAGCATTTGCGAAAATTAAGTTTTTTTTAAAGAACATCATTTTATATCACCTGCCTGGCAATACAATCCTTCTGTCAATGTCACAAAACATCGGTAAAAAACACATAGCAGGTGAGCTATTCAGGACTTTGAGTATCTTGTTTTTTATTTAATGGTTCCCGTTGAACCTCAAGCAAACATTTTGAAACACTTCGGAAACGTTTTGCTACACTTAAAATGCCGCTGTCATTTACCTATCAAAATACATATCATATCATGTAAGGGTCAAAGCCTAAATTAATCCCGTAACAAATTAGAAAATTTGTAAAAATAAATGATTCTGTTATTTGTTTTATCTTACTTTTACAAGAATCTCATAAGAAATCGGTAAATATATTTCCTGAATAATTAATTCGAATTACTTGAATTATTGATAATATGAGTTTGAATGTTATACTCGAATACACATTAATACTTTCGGTGTATCAGAATGGCTATTGAAGTACTTATAGAATAACTGTTACAAAATATATACTAAGAGTACAAAATTTATTTATTTATATATGATCTAACGAATAGCTTCGAGGGGGTCGAAAATGGTGTCACGTTTTGGCACTAAAGCACGTGTGTTCTGTTACACGTTCTAAAAAAGTAACATTATATAAACTGAAACTCCCACCTATGTCAATAAACAGAGGAAACGTGGTGGGGACCTACCTGTACAGCTGTGACCCAAATTACTCAAAGGCATTTATGTCATGTTTGTACTTATATTTATTACTGGGTTTAATATTACGTCAACGCATAAAACAACAACAGTGTTTACACTCGCTTCTTATCAAAACTTACTGCAAATAACTTGATTTCGTGAATACGGCTTAATTCGCGAATATTGGAATTCTCAAATTTTAACCATAACATGTACAATAGCATGTCGAAGCTTCAACCGTGAGTTAGATAATTTATTTATTATATTTATTCATTTGTATTCGATCTTTAAAGTCCTGTTATAGGTAACGTGAAAATAGATTTCTCGGAATATTGAAATCACTCAAAGTTGATGCATGTAAAGTAATGTTTATAACAGTACATGACATTAGAGAAACGTCCTTGTAACATTACTCTTATATGATACGACAGTATTATATTTGTAAGATAAGAACAGTAACGTGATTCTTCTCCGGGGATCCGACGTGGTATTTGACAGTTGTCTAAAGTAAATGAGTTCATGACGGGCGAAACATCTGTATAGTGCAGTGGTATTCATATTTAACATACAAAATATATTACCATTTTATAAAGGTGTAAGCACATTTGTGTGTGCGGTTACGGTCATCTTTCAAGATACAAGATGGTAGACTCTGCTGGTGTATATTCTTTAGTCCCCTAGGTTTGCTATAACCTTGATGGTCACAGTTATGTCTTTTAAGTAATAAATCTTTTACAAAAATTATGAAACAAGTTATTTCAACTTATGTTAATCACTCTTGTTGGCCCGGATGTTACCTTTTCACGTCCGATCGGGGAATCGCACCCCGGCCGCTTTGGTGAAAGGCAAGTGCGTTATCCACTGCACCACCCGACCACCCTTTTAAGTAGGGGCACTGTTCATGATATACACACTTTGCTAATCATTAATATGAAATAAACCAGTAATCTTCTAATTGTCAAAATGCATATAATCAAGGGTTTTTATTATCATGCTGTATCTACACGCATGTGTTTTTTTTTAGATCTCATTTGGCACCAATGGGCTTCCGTACATGGTGTCTTCCGTTCATGTATCAATGTAATGTGGTGTATATTATATACCTTATAGGATTTTTTAAGCTGATAGCTTTTAGGAAGTAACCAACATAATCATGTAAAATAAAAATTAAAAATAAAAATTAAAAAATCATTTAACTTAGTTTGATGAGAGGAGCAGGTCAAGGATTTCCTACTAGTCTATTCCGTCTTTGAGTATTGCAGATTTATCTTCTCTTGGGAGCAGGTATCGATTGTTACGTCATTGGTCTGTGTGAGAAAATTACGTCGTTTTCTCAAAATTTGATGACGTTTCTCTCACAAACAAGTGACGTAACAATCAATCCCTGCTCCCAAGAGAAGATAACTTCCCTGCCTCTCCAACGTACGTATCTACATGTCATAGTTGAAATGACTTTCGCGAAGTCGCCATGATCTCATTGGGACATACGCTATCACTTTGTGTGATATGAAGGTCGATGTTATTTATTATGCTCATCATACCCGACCTCCTCTGCCCTGGCCATGCAATATATAAAAAAATGTCTCGTGATCAGAAGCTAGGTTATTGCAGCTAGGGATTCCCATGTAACTCTTTCCGTTGGGTCTTTATTCGATTCACTGACAGTGTTGTCGTCTGCATATATAAAAACACATCATTTAAAAATACATTAAATGTAAGGGTCCTAAAATAGAACCCTGGGGTACCCCCTTCAGCACTTCCAGCCAGTCACCGCATTTGGAGCCATTTTTTACCTGCTGCTTCCTGCTGCTCAGGTAGCTGGACACCAGGTTAACTGAGGCTTTGCTCAGGCCATAGGCCTCCAGCTTCCCGACCAACAAGTTATGAGGGAGACAGTCAAAAGCCTTGGAGAGGTTAATCAGTATGGCAGCGACATACTCATGGTTGTCCATGGCTCTACGCCAATCCTCAACAAGTCGCAACAGGGTGGATTTAACACCCAAATCCTGGTCGGAAGGCTGCGACTAACTTCTTTTAAAATAGTTTCATCAGAAGAATCTTCTGTACGTATATATGTAATTATGTACTATGCTATGATATATAATTTGCCTGTCATGCACTCAAACTATGTTATATATACATGACCTCTTGTTACAAACATTTATGTGTGTCTGAGTGAAATAAAAATCTTGAAATCTTGAATCTTGTTAACAGTTTGCCAAGTTGTATCATCCAATTACCCCCATGTTATATGACACGCAAGGTGACGCAACGCGTCGAGTTGCCTTATTTCATTCACAGACAATGTCCTATTACCTAATAACTTTACATATGTAGGAAAGCTGTTATTAGAATGCTTTAATAATGCATGTATACAAAACTGTTCCCAACTTTATAACCACAAACATAAGAACTCGTTTTTCTTTTTAAAGATATTTCTTGTTAACATTGACCTTTCAGACCAATCAGAAGAGCTTAAGAAGTTCAATAGAACACTGCACATCGCTGTACTTTTTCACACAGTAAAAAAAAAATCAGTTTTGTGACATAAAAAATGCACTTTTATATTTGCGTTAAAGTGGGAATATGGTTACAGACACTGCACTGAGTGTCCTAGATCTCACAGTTAGATTATTTTTTTTAAACGGGATTTCCAAAACAACTCGGTCTTCATATATATATAAGTCAGACGTTTCTGCCCACCAGTGTTGATTTAACAGCTCTCGAGCAATCGACTTTCATCACGACATATACGACATACGGCAGTATTACTAAATCCTGAAAGATGCGCTGGATCCTCAAATTTACACTGATGACCGTGTCCGTGTTGGTCGCATCTGGCAGAGGTGCCCCTTTCAGGCCTCCAAATGCTGGTTTTGCATGCTCAGGCTTCATATCAAGGTAAGACGGTCAAGCAATACGGTAAATATTAATTCAATTATGATTTTTTTTTTCATTTTTTAGGCCAGTCGTCATTGATAGAAGTTCTTTTTAATGTTGATAAGTATTTTATACAAAAGAAAATAATACCTTGCGAGACTTTTATGAAAAATATAGCTTTGAAAATGTGGAAGCTATGGATCTGTAGTGATTATACTATCGCTCTAACCGACTGAGCTACCGGGTGAACGAAAGCCGCCTGGCTCAACTGTGCTACACTTAACTAAAAACGACATTAAGGGGAGGTCACTGTAATTCTATATGAAAAATCACAGAACAGCGGGACAAGGGTCCTTAAGACATCATAACTTACCCTTACCCTAATAACGGGTACCACATGTGGGACAGGAACCTACCCTGGGAGAGGTTTCAATTTTATTCTATCTACTTTTTTGTATCTTGAGTTTCTGATGACGTCTTTTTAAAATGTGAATTATCATTTTGTTCTTGTGTGTTTGCGCCGAGGTTTGTTATTTCCTGCTAAACTCGTAACTGTGATAAGATGCGTTTATTATATTTTGAGAAATATATAACAAAATATAAAAAAATAGTTTTAGTGGTGACTTTTCTGATTTCTTGTAAACATTCCTATGAAGTGTTTTCCTGCACATAAACGTTTCTAGGAATTGACATGAGAGTAAGGTCGTTGACAGAGTTATTGGAAAGCTGTAACAGAAACAGAAACAGGCATATATTAAGATATTTTTTTAATTTATTCATATATTTTTATATCATTTATATCACAGTACAAAAAGCGATGTTTCTAAATACCTATCGAGACACATAAACATGCACAGTCACCATATGGAGCAAAGGCTAAATAGCTATATAGCAACCAAAAGTCAAACTAGTGCGCGTGTGTACAGTATTTCACCACAAGCTACTAGTTAGCTTACAACGATGTCATCTGGGCGAAACTGAGCGAAAGGCATGCAGACAATTTACATTCATATTGTGCTTTACCATAATTGCCGTAATTAGCGCGCCTCCACTATAAGCACCCCTCTCTCCTTTTCGGGAGGAATTGAAACTATAAGGACAACCTACCAGACCTGACTATGTTATTTACGAAGGTCCAGTTACACAGGATGTTTATCGTCCTGCTAAGAATGAAGTGTTTAGGTAACGTTAAGCTAGATTTATTCTTATTTACATTTAACGAACATTAAATGTCCTAGATATTATTTTAGGCGGCATATTTTAAGACTTGCAAGCGGACTGGAGACACGATACAACATCTTATAAAAGACCATTCCACAAGAGTTGTTAAATTGAACTGTGATACACTTTAATTTTCAGGGAAACGACGACCTACAGAGTACCGCCAGACTGTCCTTCTGTGATACTCACTTGTTACCAGGGTACATGTCCTCAAGTGGTAATCCTCACGTTTGACCATGTCCAGTCAATATGTTTCGGACATCGGTTTTACGGTATCTCCAGCTACAGTGTGTTGACGTCAACAGGGAACATTCGTGTGTCAGAAGGTTTGTATCTTACTTATTCTTTAATCCAGAATGTTCTATATGAACATTTTTTTCTCGTTAATCCAGAGGTTAGTACATCGTTTGATATTTATTCCGAATGTTTGTATCTTGTTTATTTTTGAATCCAGAATGTGTTACATGAACTATTTTTCTCGTTAATCCGGAGATTGGTACACGGTTTGATATTTAAACAGGAGATCAGTATACTACTGTTTTATACCAGAGATTTATTCCGAAAAAGTGTTTTATGAATAATTATAATCCGAATATAATATTTTAAAGAAATCATATTTTATTCATCCGGAACCTGATTCTTTTTTCATTCTGAAACCATGGTGGACAGAAAAATAAAAATCGAAGGCTCAGTGTAGCCACCTTTTTGGATGAGACAGACATATCATTATATTTTGTGGATAGTATATCCCCCTCCCTCCCTCCCCTTCGTTTTTTGTATTTGAGGCAGATACCTGTGTTGAAACAAATCTATTTATTTTTTTGCAGGAAGGCGTAAATGTATACCGGAACTTACAAACCGGAACGTCAGCTTAACTCTCCACGGGCACACCGGCCAGGTGATATTCTTTAATATGGTATCCCTTCAGGAGGATAGTATTTCACTTCACACGCATCGCGTGTCATCGTTTGAAGAAGCTCTTGCTATGCTGAATGAATTGGCTACTTCATGATGAATGAAATGTCGACTGCAACGACAGATGCGGACAAAATTGCGTTTTGACCTTGCTGCGAATGACGTAATTAACTTTTCCAGCTGTTGCAACGGCATATTGACGTCAGCACAAGCACGAACAGGCCATAGCGCGTGTGATATTGACATTAATGATATGACTCATCTCAATAATATATATCATTACTATAACAGATATTGTTTAAAATATACTTTTATAATGAATGTGAATTTGAGATTATAATAAAATAGACTAATGGAGGGACAACTGTTTCATGTGTGGTTTTTATTATCTCTGTGTGCTGTAATTATGGGAAGATGAAAGACGTTTCTTTTAAGACATGAATCCCTTCTTAGTTTTGAACGAAAACATTTATTTTTATTTTTTCATTTTGTGAAGGGGACGAACGGGGTCACATTTTAGAGACCAACTGTCTATATTTACCATAACATAGGAATGCCATTATTTTGTATATCAGGTCTTTTTTCGCGATTTTCTAATTTTCGCTTTATTCGCGAATTAACAAAATTGTGAATAAACGCTAAATTTGCATCACGAAGAAACAAAAGACCATGAGCTTATATATAATTACGTGATAGCAATATTGGAGATGAATATGCAAAATTCAAACGTGGAAAATCGATTTTGGACCAATTCGCGGAATTTGAATCACTCATAAATAACTTGAAATACGGTATGACCTAAGCGAATTTTTCAAAACTCTGTACACTAGCATTAATCCGCTTCCCCCCCCCCCCCCCCCCCCCCAGATCATTCAATATAATCTTAAGAATTTCTATCATTGGGCAGATAGCCAAAATTAAATTATGATGCAGAATATTTTTTCCTATTGCCAAAGAAAAAGTAGTAAGATACTTTAGATAAGTTACTATCTTGAATAGCGTTTTTGAATGATCAAAGGGTACATGTAACTGATTCCAAAGTCTAATTGTAGAAGGGAAAAAAGACTTGTTAGATGACTCAAGTCTAGGCAGATTATAAAGGTCAGAATTTCATAACTTGTATTGTGACTTTTCTGATACAAGAGGAGGGAGTAGAGCGTTGAGATAATTAGGAGTTAGGTTGTTATGAATCTAATAGAGTAGTCGAAGTTTCCGAAGGGATCTCCGCTCAGATAAAGATTCCCATCCTACATCGTAAAGTACAGATCGTCTGCTTGTGTAGGGAGGTAAACCAGGACAATACGTCCAGCCCCCAGTTGTAACTTCTCTAGTGTAGGGAGGTAAACCAGGACAGTACGTCCAGCCCCCTGTTGTAACTTCTCTAGTGTAGGGAGGTAAACCAGGACAATAAGTCCAGCCTCCAGTTGTAACTTCTCTAGTGTAGGGAGGTAAACCATTGACAATACGTCCAGCCCCCAGTTGTAACTTCTCTAGTGTAGGTTGGTAAACCAGGACAGTACGTCCAGCCCCCAGATGTAACTTATCTAGTGTAGGGAGGTAAACCAGTGACAATACGTCCAGCCTCCAGTTGTAACTTCTCTAGTGTAGGGAGGGAAACCAGGACAATACGTACAACCTCCAGTTGAAACTTCTCTAGTGTAGGAAGGTAAACGAGGACAATACGTCCAGCCTCCAGTTGTAACGTCTCTAGTGTAGGGAGGGAAACCAGGACAATATGTCCAGCCCCCAGTTGTAACTTCTCTAGTGTAGGGAGGTAAACCAGGACAGTACCTCCAGCCCCCAGATGTAACTTCTCTAGTGTAGGGAGGTAAACCAGTGACAATACGTCCAGCCTCCAGTTGTAACTTCTCTAGTGTAGGGAGGTAAACCAGGACAATACGTCCAGCCTCCAGTTGTAACTTCTCTAGTGTAGGAAGGTAAACCAGTGACAATACGTCCAGCCTCCAGTTGTAACTTCTCTAGTGTAGGGAGGTAAACCAGGACAATACGTCCAGCCTCCAGTTGTAACTTCTCTAGTGTAGGAAGGTAAACCAGTGACAATACGTCCAGCCTCCAGTTGTAACTTCTCTAGTGTAGGGAGGTAAACCAGGACAATACGTCCAGCCTCCAGTTGTAACTTCTCTAGTGTAGGAAGGTAAACCAGTGACAATACGTCCAGCCTCCAGTTGTAACTTCTCTAGTGTAGGGAGGTAAACCAGGACAATACGTCCAGCCTCCAGTTGTAACTTCTCTAGTGTAGGAAGGTAAACCAGTGACAATACGTCCAGCCTCCAGTTGTAACTTCTCTAGTGTAGGGAGGTAAACCAGGACAATACGTCCAGCCTCCAGTTGTAACTTCTCTAGTGTAGGAAGGTAAACCAGTGACAATACGTCCAGCCTCCAGTTGTAACTTCTCTAGTGTAGGGAGGTAAACCAGGACAATACGTCCAGCCTCCAGTTGTAACTTCTCTAGTGTAGGAAGGTAAACCAGTGACAATACGTCCAGCCTCCAGTTGTAACTTCTCTAGTGTAGGGAGGTAAACCAGGACAATACGTCCAGCCTCCAGTTGTAACTTCTCTAGTGTAGGAAGGTAAACCAGTGACAATACGTCCAGCCTCCAGTTGTAACTTCTCTAGTGTAGGGAGGTAAACCAGGACAATACGTCCAGCCTCCAGTTGTAACTTCTCTAGTGTAGGAAGGTAAACCAGTGACAATACGTCCAGCCTCCAGTTGTAACTTCTCTAGTGTAGGGAGGTAAACCAGGACAATACGTCCAGCCTCCAGTTGTAACTTCTCTAGTGTAGAGAGGTAAACCAGTGACAATACGTCCAGCCTCCAGTTGTAACTTCTCTAGTGTAGGAAGGTAAACCAGGACAATACGTCCAGCCTCAAGTTGTAACTTCTCTAGTGTAGGGAGATAAACCAGGACAATACGTCCAGCCTCCAGTTGTAACTTCTCTAGTGTAGAGAGGTAAACCAGTGACAATACGTCCAGCCTCCAGTTGTAACTTCTCTAATTATCTGCATCACCAATACAACAACCATCCCACAGTTCCAGCAATATTCTAGATTAGGAAGAATGTAACATCTATAACTACTATTTAATGTACATCGGTTAATAGTGTTTTTAGTGTACATCGGTTAAGAGTATAGTTAGTGTACATCGGTTAGGAGTATAGTTAGTGTACATAAGTTAAGAACATATTTAGTGTATATTGGCTAATAGTGTATTTAGTGTACATCGGTTAAGATTATTTTGTGTACATCGGTTCAGAAGATATTTAAGGTACAATGGTTAATAGTGTATTAAGTGTACATCGGTTCAGAAGATATTTAGTGTACATCGGTTAAAAGTGTATTTAGTGTACATCGGTTAACAGTGTATTTAGTGTACATAGGTTAAGAGTGTATTTAGTGTACATAGGTTAAGAGTGTATTTAATGTACATCAGTTAAGAGTATATTTAGTGTACATCGGTTAAGAGTATTTAGGGTACATCGGTTAAAAAGATATTTAGAGTACAATGATTAATAGTGTATTTAGTGTACATCGGTTAAGAGTGTATTTAGTGTACATAGGTTAAGAGTGTATTTAGTGTACATAGGTTAAGAGTGTATTTAGTGTACATAGGTTAAGAGTGTATTTAGTGTACATAGGTTAAGAGTGTATTTAGTGTACATCGGTTAAGAAGATATTTATTGTAAATCGGTTAAGGGGGTATTTAGTGCACATAGGTTAAGAAGATATTTAGTGTACATCGGTTAAGAGGGTATTTAGTGTACATCAGTTAAGAGTGTATTTAGTGTACATCGGTTAAGAAGATATTTATTGTAAATCGGTTAAGGGTGTATTTAGTGCACATAGGTTAAGAAGATATTTAGTGTACATCGGTTAAGAGTGTATTTAGTGTACATCAGTTAAGAGTGTATTTAGTGTACATCGGTTAAGAGTGTATTTAGTGCACATCGGTTAAGAGTGTATTTAGTGTACATCAGTTAAGAGTGTATTTAGTGTACATCGGTTAAGAATATATTTAGTGTACATCGGTTAAGAGTGTATTAAGTTTACATCGGTTAAAAAGATATTTAGTGGACATCGGTTAAGAGTGTATTTAGTGAACATCGGTTAAGAGTATATTTAGTGTACATCGGTTAAGAGTATTTAGTGTACATCGGTTATTAGTATGAAGTGTACATCGGTTAAGAGTGTATTTAGTGTACATCAGTTAAGAAGATATTTAGTGTACATCGGTTAAGAGTGTATTTAGTGTATATCGGTTAAGAAGATATTGATTGTACATCGGTTAAGTGTGTATAAGTAGTCCTCGGTTAAGAAGATTTTTAGTGTACATCGGTTAAGAGTATTTAGTGTACATAGGTTAAGAAGATATTTAGCTTACATCGATCAATAGTGTATTAAGTGTACATCGGTTAAGAAGATATTTAGCGTACATCGGTTAAGAGTATATTTAGTGTACATCGGTTAAGATTATTTAGTGTACATCAGTTAAGAGTGTATTTAGTGTACATCGGTTAAGAAGATATTAAGTGTACATAAGTTAAAAGTATATTAAGCGTACATCGGTTAAGAGTGTATTTAGTGTACATCGGTTAAGAAGATTTTTAGTGTACATCGGTCAAAAGTATATTTTAATTTACGGCGGATGCCGAAGGGCCAAGTGAGCTTATGCCATGGTGCAGCGTCCGTCGTCCGTCCGTCCGTCGTCCGGCGTCAATATTTTACTTTAAACAACTTCTTCTTAATAACCAAAAGGCCTAGGGTGATGCTATTTGGCGAGAAGCAAACTGAGATGAAGGGCTACCAAGTTTGTTCAAATAAATGACCTTCACCTATTTTCAAGATCACAGGGGTCAAATATGTTAAAAACTTTAAACAACTTCTTCTGAATAACCAAAATGCCCAGAGTTATGATATTTGGCCAGTAGCATGCTGGATGAAGAGCTACCAAGTTTGTTCAAATGAATGACCTTCATCCATTTTTAAGGTCACAAGGATCAATTGTCTTAAAAAATCTTTATACAACTTCTTCTGAATAACTAAGAGGCCTAGGATAATGATATTTGGCCAGTAACATGCTAGGATGAAGGGCTACCAAGTTTGTTCAAATAAATGACCTTTACATATACTCAAGGTCACATGGGTCAAATATGTTTAAAACCTTTAAACGACTTCTTCTCAATTAGCCAAAGGCCAAGGGTGATGATATTTTGGTCATTAACAGGCTTGGATGAAGGGCTACCAATTTTGTCAAAATGAATGACCTTCGCCCAAATTCAAGGTCACAGTGGTCAATATACGTTTAAATCTTTAAATGGCTTGTTCTGTATTACCAAA